ATATTAAAAATCATATTTTAATATGCTATAAATAAGATTTTTTTATGTTTTTAGTCATTTTCCATTAAGCATGACTTAAATCTATATTTTATGCTGCGCATGTGCAACTTACTTAATCATATTAGAGACTTTTTTGTTGTATTTCTTCAATAATATTTTAATATTTTGACGTTTTTCCATTAAATATGACTCAAATCTATCTTTTTTGCTGCGCATGCGCAGCTTACTTAATCCTGCACACATTTTTAAGTCATAATAAAGACTTTCTTGTTTTTATTTTTTTTGTACATGCATTGATTGATGAACTTTTGCTGGTGTACTCACCATGAAAATAGGAAATTATGATAATTGGCTTAAAACTCACCTGAAACAAGAAAAATAAAATTAGATTACAAAATTTTATCTACTAACATAAAATATTTTTTAATTATAATTATGTTTTATGATTTTCTTAAACAATTTATTAATAGTGAATCTAATTATTTCAACGAATTTTTCCTCGAAAGTAAAACCGTAAAAAATGAAAGCTATTTACTTGTAGCTTTCATCGATATACTAAATTACTCCACACAAAACACACACGAAAGAAAACACAAAGATCCCTAGCCGAGACGACACGATGAGGAAGATGTTTATTGCTTTTTAATTACAGCTTAGAATAATTAAAGTTTCATTCTTTTAATTAATATATTCCAATTTATTCGAAACGTATCCGACGTTTACCTAAGATAATAATAAAAACGTTTTGAAAAAAATATATCTTAAGGCAATAAAATGTTTGAAACGATTTGGGTGACGACAGATGATAAGTATAAAATTATTATTTATTTCGAAAAGTAGGTAACCGTAATAAGATGTTTCGAATCTTAATTATCTGTTATTTTTGTCGGCCGGAAACCAATACGTTAATAAAATTCGTGATCGTCGTGTTTAAATTTTGACGATAGTTGAAAATATGGTTAGTTAAGTGAAAGCAAAAAATCGCAACAACAAAAAAAAAGAGTATTGATGTCGATTTGTGGTTCGGTGAAAGTATTTTTTGTACAAAATTTTAATGTTATAGCCACCCACAACTTAAAAAGGACGAAACTCATTATTAAATGGTAATATTGAACTTTTAATCGTTGATCTTAAAATATATTTTTAGAAATCAGATTGTGATGAGCAATAACAAAATAACAACAATTTCTTAGTTTGTTTTACAATCTAATAATCTTTTATTTTAAATGTAAATGTTAGATCAAAATCTAATTTTGTTTTTTATTTGTTTTGAGCTATAACTTTGCCATTTTTTATTGGATTTGAATCAAATTTCTATGAAACATATTTAAATTGTTTATTTCCATAATGAAACAATTTTTATGGAAAAATTTTATTTAGTTTTTGTGATTTAAGCATTCAAATTCAGTTTTTTAATATTTTTTAAATTTAACAACTTGTATCTTTATCAATTCCATAGCAACAAGATAAAAATTTTACAAGAATATAAAACTTTTTATAAAACACGTTTTTCCTTACAAAATTTTATCAAATTTATATTTTTCTATCTGAATTATGGAATATTAAAGTTAATTCAACATAAATTTTATTATTTCAGGTTATAACTCAGCCATTTTTAATTAAAATCTAACTAAATCCCCTTCAATAATAAATAATAGAATGTATTAACTATATTACTTCACTTTACTACAAAATTTAATTACTTTTCACAGTTATACCACATTAAAGTAAAAACTAAATTATTTTTTATACCCGGAAACTTTTTCAATACTTAAACTACTCTTAAAATTTTTATGTCTTTTTGTAATAACGACTTATTCAATTATTATTATTTTTAGAAATCTAGAATGTGATGGTGCAATGATGAGTCGCAATTGTTTTATTTGCTTTATGATCCTCGAAATGTCAAACCACGAACAAAGACTTCAAATGCTGTTCACGCTGTTATTAATTTTAAAAGAATGAAAATCCGCGTCGATAATACAGAAACCCGTAACAACAAGTAACATTTAAGTATTTAATTGATTCGCTTGTTTTTTCTTCTCTACCTTCACAAAACAAAAACTTGTTTCGCTGGCATAACAACACAAAGTCTATTAATAAGAATCGAACGAAGAACTAAACAAGCGTAGATAGCAATAAGTTAAAGTTAAGTACACACGTCTAGAGAAGAATAAATAATAATGTCTCGCCGACGTCCGCTTTGCGTTTCGCCCGCAAACACAAGACATGGCGGCGGCGTCCACCTGTTAACAGAGTTTGCTTTTTGTTATTTTTCCACAAACAACTTTTGTCTCATGACATCTTCGCCGGTTATAACTTACAAACGCCTACAATGCGCATCGTGCAATAAATCGACGTTTGAAAGCTCCTACAAAGCTTGCGAAATTTATTATTTGCCTGCTCTTTACACCGAAAGGGCGCGCTTTAATAATTCAATGTAATTACTGTAATTGAAAAGTAACCATAAATACATCGCAGAGCGTTGAAAAGGGTTGTGCTTCTTTGAGGTTATGTAAAATTATTTATTCATTCAACATCCGAATATGGCAACGCGCGATAAATTCACACATTGTCATTTAAATGTCACGCTGAAAAAATATGAGTGTATAGGCAGCACACAATGCGTGTTTATATAATCCGTTTGGTTTTGATTGAAAAATGTAAACACTTGCTAATAAAGCAATTAGTAAAGGTTATTGGGTTAATGGCTTTGCGCATCTTGAATGCGTATGTGTCAAGAATGACGGTTATTTCTTCACGATGTATCGGATGTGGCTGACTTACTTCCTGTCCTAGATTTTACTTTATACTCGAAACTTGTTGAAAAAAAATGCGTAAAATTTTCCTATCAAATCTTTTCGAGTGAAACGCAATTCACGTTTTACCTGTTGTTGGTTGTGTCGGTGAGGTTTAGAATGTTTGCGAGTGTAATTGCTCCCGGGACGATTATTTCGCTCCTCGAGGCGCGTTGTGTGGCTGCACTCGCAGACGACAGATGCGAAACAAGTTTGTGCTGGCGGCTTATGATCGCGATCGCTGAAATGTGGGATGTGGGACAGCGGCACGCGTAAAGTGGCACGCCGAAGAACTTTACTCTCGCTCTTCACGTCAAATGGACCCAGTTTGGATGATAAACTTATATATTTGTTGCTTTTTGATATTTATTTGTGGAGTTTTTATGAGATTTTTGTGTTTTTGCTCCGCCTACTTGTCTCTGCGCATGCGTCAAGGGATTAGTTTATTTTGGGTTATGTAGGCGGAGCTCCCAGAGTATATTTTCACTGTTTTACTCTTGTTTTTCACATCAAATGCATGCAATATTATTTAATCTTCATATATTTTATAATTTTCTGAAATTTTTGTATTTTTGCTCCGCCTACTTGTCTCTGCGCATGCGCCGCGTGTTTAATTGTAGTTGACTTATGTAGGCGGAGCTCCCACAGTATATTTTCACTATTTTACTCTCGTTATTCTTGCCAAATGCATCCAAATATCATTTTATTCTCATATTTTTTATGATTCTTTGAAATTTTTGTGTTTTTGCTCCGTTTATTTATCTCTGCGCATGCGCAGAATAATTTTTTTGGTTAAGTTGTATAGGCGGAGCTCCCACAGTGTAATTTCACTCTTCTCACTAAATATTTTAGTGTTTAACATTGTTTAAACATCATTTAAAAGCGCGTGAAACCGTAACCCGTAAACAATTACCATTTCCTCGTTTATTTCGATTTCGTTTAGTTTAATTACCGCGAATTGTTTCAATTTCACTTACGCGCTCGTTATTTTTACGCGTAATGGATTCTGTCCGGAACTAAATTATTCGTCGTGCACGCGATAGCCATCTCGCCAGTGCGAGAATACGTAACAGCGGAATAATATAATGCAAATCGGGAAGTTTTCTATACACAATCACATTATCCAGGTGCGTAGTAAATATTTCAATTCGAAAAAATTTATAAAAATATGAAATTACTCGAAATACACACAAATTTAGTTTATTTTGCTCCGCCCACTGGGTAATTACAACGTCATACTTTAGTACTGACCAGTGGGCGGAGCTCTGCGTGAGTGTTTTTACTGCTTTGTCGTGTTTTGACTGGCAAAAAACAAATAAAATATTGAAAACGGAAGAAACGTTAGAAGCCGCCGGCATAATGGTTATTAAAACGAGCGACCGTTTAATGTATGCGGACTCTTACTTTTCATGAAAGGTGAAAGCGAACCGAACGGCCATTATATCTGGAGCACACACATACCAGTAGTTTGTTCCGCACACTTTGGGCACTGGACACAAGACTCGTAGATACGTGCGTTTATTCGGGCTAATAAATTTATTTCGCCAAGCGACAACCGTTCGCTTGGTTGTATCTTATTATGAATGACATGCGAGGTATAAATCAGTCTCATATTTCACATTATAAAGTCAAAAACGTTAAAATATTGTGATTTATGCTCCGCCCCTTGAGTTACGATTTCCTAATACACTTACGCATGCGCACTACTTACGTAGGCGGAGCTCCCAGTGCAATTCATCACTCTAGATGCGTCCGAACGACTTAAATTGTATAATTATTGTAAAATTACTAAATCAACAACGTTCCTAATAAATTCCTGACGCGATCTTCAACGTGACATGACGTGAGCATTCCATTCTTGGTGTGATACCCTCCGGCTGGCTTAATTGCATGTGCGCATCGCATTGCGCAATGTGAGATATTTGCGTTAGATCTGTACTAACATAAGTAACTTTAGAAGTGGAAAAAATCAACCAAAGATGAAGATTGCACTGAATGGGATTGAAATTAAAGCGAGTCTTTGAAAGTGACCTTTAACGAGGAGCTGTGCCCATCAATGATGAGAAACTAAGCGCGGAATAAATTTAAGACGATTACGCATGCGCTGAAGTAAATAGTTCGATCGTGATTGTATAAACAAGCCTTAAAATTACCTGAATTTTATGAAATTTAAGTTTTTTAATGTTAAAATTTTATTTTCAGAAAATATGGGTCTACTACCGCCATCTATGAATTTATGACAACAAAATGTAAGTTTTTAACCACAATTATCAATTAATAGCAATAAAATACATAATTTTGTGATGAAATGTCAGTTATGTTTTGAATCAATCATAATTTAGCTTACATAATGCATTTTTATGTATTTTTCTTGATCCATTCGCGATGCGAATAATTGCCGAATCGATAAATGTTAATAATACCTCGTGGTATTTATTAGACGCGAAGACGGCGCGTACTTCGTCGCTTCATCACATTATGTAATTTTAATCACGTTTGTGACGTCGCTGGTCGCAGCGACGAGAGTCGCACTTGCTCGTCGCTTGAAAAATTATGTAAACGACCATCAACTCGATTCCCCGTGCTCTTCACGTGGCGTATATTTGCTAATTTAATAAGCAAAAACGCAATTAATCATTGCATTATGGTTCTGCCCATGTTTTTATTTTCTACCCGCATATTTTAGAAGATATACCTAGATTGTTGGTTATGTAAAAAGAGTTGGAATCGTGAGTGTGATTCTGATTTGGATTTGCTTTCGGGATTTTCTTCATCTCTTTGGTTTTGTGGAGGACGACGTTTGTCCGGATATTTGCTTGCACGAGTACCGCGGGTCTATCTAGTCTTCATCTTCATCTTCACTTGGTGGGTAAGCAGGTCGATTATGCCTCGTTTCTGCATTGACCTATTGAGTAATGCCCGTCATGCGCGCCTGCGTTTTTGTTCGTTGTTTACTCTCGCTTAATGTTCAATTTCGAATTACAAGAAATTAGCATAATGCATGCTCGTAAATTTCGTGGATTTTGAGAGTTATTGAGAGAGAAAATTGATTTCTTCGCCCACAATCAAAAAATATTTTTTCTTATATTTTACATGAAATTTTGGTAAATTTGCTCCACCCCTTTATCTTAAGCTATTTTACTTTAGTCTGACATGCGCAGAATGCAGTAGGCGGAGCTCTTGATTCATTTTTTCCCAAAAAATACTTTTTTACTCATTAAAACAAGTGTAATTTATTATTTTTTAAGTTTTAGCGAAAATAAGGTTAGTTTTGTTCTGTCAACTTGCCATACACTGATTGGTCATTCTCTGACATGCGCAGTATAGAGTAGGCGGAGCTCTGAACTTTAATTTCATAAATTATCACATTTTAAGAATGAAAACAATTTTTTTACATTTTACTAAAATAATTTTTACTGAAATTTCGTTTTGGTTTAATAGTTTTTCGCAAATTATCACTCTTTTATTTTAATGACCGAAACAAAAGTAAAAGTCACCGCCAAAACGCAAATAAATGTCAACCGACTTTCATTGTTGCGTCTATTCAATAGTCTACTTCGCCTGTGATATTAGATTCGTTCATTTGTTTGTTTGTTAGTGCATTTTTTCCAAATCACCGTTTTGGTCCGAACTAGTGAAAGTCCAATTCTCGCTAGCGCCGCGTTTGTCACTGCGAAATGAAATTGCGGAATGCGCAAACTAATTAGCGACTTTATTATATCCAGCGCAGCGCTCTGTCTGCGCGTGTGCTGCCTGCCTTTTTGTCGCGGCGGTGTGTTTTGCATTTTTCATTTCGACCGCGGCGCGTTGCGATGATTGCGACATCTGCGTTTTCGATTCAATTCGATTCGCAATTGTTTAAAATTGTTTTGCGGCTTGGGGCGAGCACGACCGGCAAAAACCTAGTTTTCTTAATTGCTCACAGCTCGGCCAGACGATAGCTATCAATGTGCGCTTAGCTCGTAAATGGTTGCAACCAGTTTACGATTAGTAGTACAAGACGTATATCGACACGAAGTGTTTTCCGTATTGGATTTTTTCGCGCCGCATGAAAGAAAAGTAATATTTACAGGTTAAACACACTGTATAATTATATTTCTATGACTTAATATGGGCTTCCAGGCTTTGGCCTGCTGGGGTATTAGGTGCGTGCGCGATTTTTCACTTTTTTCTCGGTTAAAATTGAAGAATTAACCGAATTAAGCGTTAATTATGTTCGTTTTGCAGCGCTGGCAATTATTTCCCAATTGCGAGGTGCCAATTAGCGCGCGTATATTTGCATATCATAACAATTTGTGCAACTATTGCAATATTTTTCTACACTTTTGCTGTAGTTTTTGTAATCGAGCGAAAATTACAATTAAATTTTACGAGCGAAAACGTTCGGCGCATTATTATTTAATTAGAGCATTATTTCATTAAACCATTAGGTTATTATTCCATTTTTAATAAGCGAACGTTTTTCTGCGGTTAACTTCGATTTTATTTTTAATTTCGTTTTCTTCTGCGCGAGAAAACCAAGAAAGTGTTAAATTAGCTCCGCCTTTTTTACTCTACAGCGATTGGTTTTGCTCAATCATGCGCAGTATAAAAATGGGCGGAGCTCCTTTGTTTTTCTAAATGTTTTCCTTTGAGTATTTATGTACTTATGCACATTTCGTAATCAACGAGAAAACAGCATCAGATTGAAATCTCCTCTGCGTATTAAAATATTTCGCCAGGGCTTGTTGTTTATCTGATGCGAAACGAGAAGCACGAGATCACGACTCTGCGCCAAGCATATTTTTCCATAACATAGGAAGCAGCTATTTTTATTCATCTTCTAGTTAGTTTTTTTTCGTAGTCGTAGTCGTTGTTCTTCTGGTTCGTCATGCATCACTTTCACTAGGAGACTGTGAACCTAGCTGTACACTAGGATCATCAGTCAAAGTTCAAGTCGATTTTTCATGAGGTAAAAAAAACAAATTTAAACAAATTCTTTGCGTCTGACGATAACGCCAGATGTAATAATCATCGTAATCGCAATTGGAGTGTAATGGCATTTGCATTCGGCGCGCATGATTGTGCAATGTGAAATTCACGATGAGAAACTTATTATTTCGCGTCGAGAGGCATTAAACCTCTAATGTTTTGTAAGAATTCGCGAAGATTTGCTTAAAATTAAGGTGTAAATAATTAAATTGTGGCGTAAAACATACTCGCCACACTTAGCACTTTGATAATTGCCAGGTTATGCTAGGTTATTTCATTCTAACCTATAAGATTTAACCTCAAATCAAATAAATTTATCGGTGTGTTTGATTACGTTTCGACATTCAATGCGCTTGAAGATGATGCTCGAGTAGCTCGCGGAAAATAGAAAGCGATTCGCGTTCGTTGTTCCCGATTGAATGACGAATTAACAACAACAACAACGATGTTTGGTCTAGCCTACCTACACAAGAGACGAATTCCACCTGCTCAGCGTTGCAAGTGCACGCCGAAGAAGACGGCAGAAACCAGAAAAAAAGCAACAATTAAAGCGTGCTAAACACAAAGCAAACGCAGACAACGCAGTCGCAACAATGCGTTGCCGGTTACATAAGGCGCGCAATTAGGCGTGCTAGGCAACTGAAATTGCGTGCGTGTATGCGCGCGCACCCGCTTTTTGATTATTATTAGTCTATTTCATCAACAGACAGAATTTTTACGCGTTCGTGTTTGTTGAATGTTTAGTAAATAAGTACTGTGTATTTGAGCATGGCATTAATGTTCATCATTGAACGCCGTCTGGTAATTACACAAGCATAATTACCGTCAGTCAAAATTCGAATAATTTAAACTTCACTTTCAGCGACGAAATTTAACCGTAAAGTTTAATGTGCGTGCTTTGCTTTTTACCGTTAGAGTTTTAATTTTAATTTTTGGAAATTAATCATTGTAGTGTTAAAAAATTGTTAAAATATTATTTTTCGTGTGTTTATGTTGTTAAAATGTTTTTTTTCGGGTTTACTAAACGACCTTGTCGGTTTTTGCCGGATTTTGAACTCTGATGTGAATTCTGATACAGATTTAATAAATTTCGTTTTTTTTTGTTGTTATTGTTAGCAACAATAACTCAAACCGCACCTTTCATTAGCATAATCGACCAAAATTCAAAACACACAAAAACTAGTTGTTATAAAATATCAAGTTATATAAATTTAGAGCATGAATTTTATCGTGAAATATTGATTTTATTTTTATTCATCAATATTAAACATACAGAGTGTTTTTTCATCGTAAAATTAAATTTTTATTTTGTTTACTTTTTGATTTTTGTTTGTAACTCTTGGGACATTTTATATGTTGAGCTATGAACGCTTGAACGCACTCTTATGTCATACACTGGTTTAGAAAAAAAAACTAGTTTACCGCGCACCATTTTATTTATTCGCGGAGAAAGATATCCGAACGAAATCGCTCGTAAATTTTATCAATTAATTTTTTTCAGCTCGGGGTTTTATCGACTTTACTTTACTCGCTGCACATAATAACGCCGTCGTAAAGTTGAGCGAGGTTTACGATTTCAGGTGGGTGCACTACTTAGTAGAGTTGACTTGAGGTTATATCTGTGCGCCATCTATTAGCAAATTGAATTAAATGCACCGTTATGACAACAATGGTTACATGCGACGTTTATATTTATTGCCCAAGTATCACACGTTGATTATGTGTTTGCGTTGTGTTGCGCATCACTTGCGCAACGCACGCTGCAGTGTTGAGGTTATGATTCATTAGGAGTGTTTTTCTCGCGTCGTAAACTTGTGCCCGCCGGCGACGCGTCTAGGTTAGGTGTTGGTTGATGCGCTGCGGTGCAATGTGGTGCGCAATCGCCGATGATTCGATTTTAATTAGCGCCGTAATCCTGTAATTAAGTGAGACGTCGCCTAACGGTGTGTGCACGCTGGCGGTGACGGCTCATCACGAAGGAGATTTTACTCGCATGCAGCATTTGTTGCAACGTAAGTGGAAAATTTGTGTGGCAATCGAGTAATTACTCAAATAATTTTAAATTTTAGAAGAAAAAATTTTTTATATTGTATTGAGATGAGAGTAAATTCTAGTCTAATCTGATTTAACCTAAAAAAATAATCCAAATACCTAGTTTTCTTTCTAACCGCAATCGAATTAAAACCCCACTGATTTGAAACGAGTTTTAGTTTAATTACCGGTCTCGAATTCGGTCGATTTGTGTTCTGCTTTGTTGACGCCGGTTTTCCTTCGAAGGCAAACCTCCACCACCACCACCATCCAAATATATCTCCACAACCCGGAAGTCGCGCACGCGCGTACACGCTCGAATGCACTTACTCGCCTTTTTGTTCCATATATGTGGTTTTATATTACCCGCGCTGACGCAATTCGACAGAATAATCCGAATGATCCGAATTCGTGCATTCAATTAAATTCACTTTATTTTTTCAGGCCGCGCTCTGTGTCCATGCACAAACACAGACACAGAAAAGTAAAAGCGTACTATTAAACCCGTTAAATTCAGTTGCGAATTAATTTAATTCACCCACACGTCGAATTAACGTCAATTGGAATTAAACTGATTAGAAATATATGTTTTTTAAGATGTAGGTTATGTAAGTTATTAAATAATTTCTTAATTACTTTTGCGAGGCTGAGTCTAGTCGAGTTTAAATGCGTACGTAATTTGGTAGTTTGGTTCTAATTCAGCCGTAGGCAACCGTAACACTTCATGTGTCAACATCAACATCAACATAACCTATAATATAACTCAGGGATTTCATCACCGCCGTCATCCGAGCGTAAGCATGAGAATCTTCTTCTTGGGATAATTATTTATTTCGTTTCGTCTATGTATTTCGCATTTCGCACTTTATTTAGTTTTGTTTCGTGCGCTTCATCGCCGTCATTAAAGTTACTTAACTTAAGTTAACTTAACTTGAAACAATCAAGACGATAAATATTGAAGACGCTGGGAATATTTCAACATATTCAAAATGTCCGCGATTAAATAAAATTTCCATTTTATTTTTACTTATTATTATTATTATTAATAATAATATTAATATTTATTCTGCAACTTGTTCACCTTGCATTCATTTTAATTCATTTTAATTTTTGTTGCATTCGTGCTGCACAATTTCTGGTTTCTTTCATTTTTTGTTCTCATGTTATTTGAAAAAAATTGTATATTATTTATTCTTGCAAATATTACAGAGGTTATAATTATTGCACAATTGTTATTGCGAAATGTTACAGATGTTTCCATCAAATTATATCGATGATATAACAAAATATAACTGCATTTCCTTCCAAATTGTGACACAAAATCATCGAATCGAAAACTTAAAATTGGTGACTTAAGATTTTTACCAACGACCTTGCAGTAACATTAGATTTCTACAGCTGACTATGTTTTAGTTGCATTTAGTGATGATTTACGACTTTGACACATTGCAAGCAGTGATTGTATGTTAATTTTATTCACGTATGTTTATGTTAATATACACGTCGCCCTTCGATTCATGTGGGTATTGAATTGAGGTTAGAATAGTTAGGATTGGCAGGAATCTGCATTCCGTTCATAATATTATCACTTCCGTGCAAATGAACTTCCATTATGAATTAAGTAATTTACTTAAGTTAAGTCATGAATTCAATGAACCGGATTTCGCACCCGTGAAGTTTAATAATAATAAATTGGGTGCGTTCCTAACATCATTCACAAACGTAAACTGTAATTAAGTTAATAATTTGTGGCTCGCGCCGCTGTCGCTTCTGTAAATGTCACGGACGGTATTGGATATTCATGGTCAATCGAAAGTCAATATTGATCAGCGAATCGTGCTCGTTAAATGTTTATTGTAGGCATAAAACATAAGATGCCACCGAATAAATGCACTAATTTCCTGATGATCCAAAAATGCGATCTCGAATTTATTAAGTGTAGGTATTGATGATGATTTTTTTCTGCTGCCGGAGGATGCCAGCGGCCTTGGCATATGGCGATCAAGATATTTTTTGCGTTTCACACTCATCGATTGTCCTTGCTTTCTACTTTTGCTGCAACGACTTAAGACTACTTAGTAGAGTGATTTAATGTAAGTTAAGTGCAAATTTCGCGCATTTTGTTGATATGTAAAAATATTCAATATTTATTCAGGCACAAACCGGAATTTCCGGTTTGGTGTAAGTATGAATTAAATAGGTTTCTAATGGTTTCACTCTCCTCGGCGCGCATTTTCGGCTGTTTAATATGCGCGCCGGCGGTTTGGTAATTGTGCATGCTCTGATTAAAGAGTGCGCGCGCGCGTAAGTGAAACGAAACCACCGCAGCACCACAATAAGTTACGATTGCGATTGAAAGTCTAAGTCTAAATAAACAAACACGCGCATCAGAGTTTCACGTTTCACGTGCCATGTTCTGTGTGTTCCGAAAGTGTGCGGAATACTTTTCCAGCGCACTGCGCATGCGCAGCTTACTTAAGTTTTCTTCATGTGTGTGTTTTGGGGTAGGTACTTACCGAGAACTGCCACCAAGAGCACAAATGTGCCACGAGTAGTCACCACCAACATGATGAAGAGTGTTGCGCGCGAATCTTTCGGAATTAGTAGAATTAATCCAAGTCGTGGCGAGAAAATCGGGTTGGTTTTTTTTTGGGTCACACGCAGGAGCTAGAAGCACTTCCCCATCAAGCGGTCGCGGAACATGAAAATTCTCCCCAAATGTGACTGCGGTGAACGCGCGTTCTGCGGTGCGCGTTGCGATGTCGCGGACTCGTGCGGCTCGCGCTGACTGGGTCGGCGGTTTCTTCAAAAGTGGTTCTTAAGTGAAACGTGCGCCTTTCGCAGGCGACGACGTCGTCGTGGTGTGGCGATATGGCGGGAGCTAGGCGCAAAGTCTCACCGAAGACTTTTGCTGCGCGCGGTTTTTCCCCACCAGAGGTCTATGAGTCGCATAAGACTTAAGTCTAGTTCACACTTTGAGTTGGAGAGTTTTGCATTCACTTCGAGACCTTGGTCGGCGGTCTTTCTCCCTAAAACACTGGTCGCAGTTGTGCAAAGGTTGCAGCTCGGACTTAAGTCACTCACAGACCACTTACATAAAACGCCGACCAACGCCTTCATGTGTTGTGCTGCTCATGCTTGCTTCCTTCCTTTCTAATCGCAAATTAATTTTAGCGCCTGCTAACAAATTTTGACTTAGCAACCTGGCTTAAGTCAAAAATGACAAAAACCTAGATTTGAAAGCAATTACATAAAAATAAACCTACCTGAGCGACCTCACGTTTTGCATCTGGCGTGCGCTAATAAATTATCGCCTATTGTTGTCGAAGACTTTCGTGTATCGTCCTCACGGTCGGCGTTACGCAAATGCTACCAAATTATTATTAACTAGTAAGTCTTTGGCCACGCAATGCGAAAGAAAACGAAATTGATTTACGAGCGTGAGCGAACTGAACAACATCCTTGGCACTCGGGTCAATATTTCATCATTGATCTGGATCTAAGCATGATTTTACATTTTATAATCACATGGATAAAAGAAATCCGGATTAAATTTTGAAAATTGCTTGTATCTCCCAAAGTTTTTATTCAATCATTATAATTTTTTATTGTTAGAAGATTAAAAGTTTTTATACAGTTTGTATAGATTTATTTATATTTTTAAACACTAGAAATATTTCTGAGCAACTGTTTAAAAAAGTATTGAAAATTTTTATAAATTTTGCGAAACACCCAGTATATAATAAAATTTGTTTTTATTATTTACAGGCCGTTAAAGAGGAATAATCCTTCTTTTATTTGTTGTTAAATTTCAGCTTTTAAAATGACTTTAAATCACTTTAAATTGCATTCCAAAATCCTAAGTTTTTTTACAATTTTGGAAATTTCAAATTAAACAAGTTTTTAAATTTAAAATATTTCCTATACTAGTCATCCGATTTTAGTTTTCTTTCCAAATTATGATAGCCAGATAATTGTTTTATTATCAACCAAATTTTTAATTGTTTATCACTTTGGGAAATACTTTAGAACAACTCCTAAAGATTGTGTACTTTGTATTTTTTTATAATTTGCTAAATTAGCAATTTTTTTAACTGCAGATCAAACTTGTAAATTTTGTAATTTCAACTCGACTATTCTGCCTGACTGACGCTTCCTTACCTTGAGTAAAAAATTATTCATTTTTTATTGCTTCACTTGTACACCGTCCAAGCGTAAAAATCAAGATTTTCCGCAATTTCCGTTTCGCAACAATCAGAAAATCTATTTCGTCGGAATTTCTGGGAAGCACACACACACAAACACGAAATACAAACAGAACGTATTTATTAAAGATCCATGTATATAATATTAATATAATACGTAATATAATAATGATGATTATAATCGTATCTGTAGAGTGTATTTATTTGTATGTGTGTTTACGTGTAATGTGTTTTGACACACGAATATTTGGCTGCCAGTCAGTCTTTTCGGCTTACACGTTAATCGAGAATTCTCTGTGTTCCTGCTCTTTGCGCTCCTGATATCTGAAACGCGCAAATGCGAATATGTTGAACACACGATGTCTGCAGGTGTGCGTCGTGATGTGGGTGGGTGCATGATCGGGGTGAGCAAACTAGGCTTTTTCCTAAGAGGTTTTTGGGGGCTTACTACCTGGCCAGCATGGTGGCGAGCTCGGCGGGCAGCTTCGCCATCTTGACATCGCGATCGCACTCCGCCTCGGACAGCTCGCGACTATCTGAGAACCTCATCGGGGGTTGAAGGCTGAAATTGGCAGCGCCTTCGCTTAATATCCTTTCGATCTCTTCCTCACCGCTGTAAACCAGAATCAATTACAGACTTTTACAGGACTCTGAAGGAATTTTCAGGATGTGATTAAGTCTGGGTTGTTTTTTCTAAAGGAAACCAAAGGTACCTTGGCTACCTGCTGGTGCTCGTAGGTCGATGGTGTTTCCGCCCTTGCGGTTGTTGCATCCCACCTCCAACGTGCCGCGGGGTGAGGCGTCTTTCCGGAGGTGGTGAGATATCGTTGGATTCGGTGCTCGAGTCGCGCCGGAAGAGATCTGCAACGAGCAAGGTTTCGTAACCTGTGTATCCTGGCCGTGACGGGGGGAGCTCACCGGCACGAGGCGTTGCCGCCTTTACCGGTACCCTGTAGTTGGACCCGCCGGGGAACTCCGCGCATGGGGATCCACTCGTGTCGTCCGATTCGGAATCACCTCTGGTTAGGGCACGTGCGCATCTCATACGGTTTTCATGTGATACTGTAGCCGCTGTGGAAAACCCTCAACACATATTTTTGGACCAATTGTATCACCTTTTAATACTTACCTTCATTATTGTAGTATCGTTGTGATTTATGCCAGCTATGCTTCCCACTTCGCATTTTCGGGTAGTTTTCAACTTCTTCGATGTGTCCAAAAGTCTTAAATTGCATGGTGTAGTCCAAGGAGGAAGTGGTGACAGCTCTGTTATTCCCTGTGACACTAAAAGTTGCATATGGGCTGATTTCGTACATCCCGGAAGCATCATCTCTCAATTGTTTATCACACTTCATGGGAGATGAAGTGTAAACCTGTTGTTTCATATTTCTACGGTTTTCCTTTTCACTGGCGGTTTTTTCTGCAAGTTGTTCTTCACTGGGACGATTTTCAACCTCCAATCTAACAAAAATGGTTTTAAAGTAGAACAATTGAAGGTGTACCAAAATTGATGGTATACCTTCTATTGCTAAACATTTTGAACCATAGTAATCCAACACAAGTTAAAATCAATCCTATTACAACAACAGGTATAATGAAATAGGTTTCCTTATAGAAAGCTCCCCCTGGTGTTACTTCCGCTTTACTTAGACTTGGAGGTGGTGGGATATGTTCTGCTCGTAAATCATCATCACATTAATTTATATTTATCTCCTAAGAATTTAATTTAACTAAAAATTACCTCCTGATAAAGTGGTTGTAGCTATATTAAAGAACCCATCCGCCTTCCCAGCATCATTCTGGGCAGTGATCCGTAACTGATACCAAGTTGCCGGTTCAAGATTGTGTATGATGAGATTCTCCCCTGAAGCGCTATTCGAGACCAATGTCCATTTATCCTCTAGTAATGCTTTGTATGATATAGAAAATTGCGAAATGACGCATCCGCCATTGGGCCAGTTGTATAGATTTAATTGAAGGGCTGTTGCGTTTGCGACGAGGAACTCCTTTTCTTTGGGCAGTTGGGGAGGGCCACCTTTGGTGCTTACTGTTAGGATAGGACTAGGTGAACCATTCCCCACTCGATTGTGGGCTAGCACGTAGATGTGGTAGACGCTTCCGCAGCGCATGTCGTCGTAAGTGTAGACGTTGTGTTCCGGCGAGATTTCGTTGGACGTCCAGTCGTTTGTGTACATCTTAGAGAAGAGGGTATAGCCTAGTTCAACAGGAAATGTTTGGTAAAAAGAGGTTGTATTTGTTTTAGAAAATTGAGTGTATTTACTGAACTGTTCGATGAATTTTAGTTTTCTTTTCGATTTTTGGTATATTAGGGTTTTGTTTATTATATTTGGGGATTAGTTTTGTTTAATGTTGATAGGAAGGGGTTGGGAGCAACCCTTAAAGTTAACATTTTGATATTTTTACGGTATAAAAAGTGTTTTCTTTTTGGTTTTGGTAGATAAATATGTGTTTCATTATGTTTATGGATTTATTTTGTTTGATTTTGACAGGAAGGGGTTGGGAGCAACCCTTAAAGTTAAAATTTAGATATTTTCAAGATATAAAAAGGTTTTTCAATGAAATTTGACTATATTTACTAAACCGTTTGAGGAATCTTAGTTTTCTTTTCGATTTTTAGTAGATAAAGATTGGCTTTATAATATTTGAGGTAATTTTCTGTTTAATATTGACAGGAAGGGGTTGGGAGCAACCCCTAAACTAGAAATTTAGCTATTTTCAAAGTATAAAAACGTTTTTCAATGAAAATGTCTCTTCTTTTATTGTGTTTTAGTGGAAAATCCTGTAACTACCCCCAATTTCCACGCAATAAAGTTTTTTTTATCAATTTACAATTAGCTTTGTACGAGGTAGACTGATTTCCAATGATGAAATTGAGGCAGTAGAGTAGAGCATTTAGTCGTTATGCATTCCAGGCGCGTGTGCCGTATTTTTTGCGTCGATTTTGTAACGATTGTACATTTCCAGCTGATTTCGTTAGCGTACGCGGTTGCGCCGCAGCACATTGTTGCACGGTGCTGTGGCTCGCTGGAATTTCGACCAGCAACGAACCCCTCTGCCCAGGCGCTCCAAACTTAGCGTGTGCGTGAATACGCGCATTCCATGTTCACCGCTTCAAACCCATCAACAAAACAACAAAACATAACCTAGTATTGAAACGTATCGAAGCGTGGCACGTGCGCAATGGATCCCTCTCAACATTTTCCCAACTCTGAACCCCCTTTATACTATACACCAGTATGCTGCTCGTTCTCTTGATGTACTTTGTTTGTAAATGTAAACGTTTACAGTGTGCATGTTGCGCATTCGGAGGCAGAGTCGCAGCCAAGAGGGCTTTTATTAAAACGCAAGCCGGCGTGGCGCTGAGCTAATAAAGCCAAACACTCGAACTTATTGCCTATGCAATTAAATTCGTTCACCGTGCGCGCTATTATAGTGCAATATGCTGCTCAAATCCTGAATGCAAGATGCACATCAACAGTGTGCACTGATATATACGCCATTCCCTCATGTGAGAAAGTAGGTTTTAATGTTCGAATCAAGATTCGAGGGCTTTATTTGAATTCCAAATGGAAACGCGTCGTCGAGATTGATTTGCGACACAATGTAAATAGCTACGGGATGTTTTTTGGTGAAGTAATGAAACTTTTTGCGCGTGGTATGGAAATGGTAATATCCCGGAGGTATTTACTCATTTTGGGGGGGTTTTACGAGTTAATTTGACGTTTATTGATGATTAAAATGCGAAAGGCTTGTTTTGAATTAATTTTATAATGAGCTCATTGTGAGCTCACATGTGGTGATAAAAATTACTTTCTGATAAAGAAAAAAAGGGAAAAAGTTTAAAAATAGGAGAAAATCGAGTGCAATTTTAGTAAATGCCTTGTATAATCGAAAATATAAATTAATTTATTATTTTTCTTGAAGGAAATAAAGATGAATAATTTCACTGACTTTTAAACTCTTTCGAATTATTTTATATAAACTAAAACCTCCCTTAAATTGCATTTTTACAAGATTGATTGCAAAGTTTGTAGATTTTTGCATTATTTTGCAATTTTTACTAATTTGCTTGCTTTTTTCTAAAGTAAATCTACAAATTTTCTTTTCTTTGCAGTTTTAATAGCTTTTAAATTACCCTATAACATATATTAAAATCATTTTGGTAAATACCGATGATCAATAACAAATTACCCGTTAAAATATAATATTTGTGCAATTTTTACTAAATTTTGTCTCTAGCCAAAGTTTTAACTTAAAATTAATTTAGTTTTTAAGAATATTTTTTATTTGCTTAGTTACGTTCGTTTGCCTTCAGTAAATATCCTGTAATTACCTCAAAACATCCCTTAAAGCGCATGTTTACATATAATAACTAATGAAATTACTAACATTCCTAAGTAAAATATTCCTAACCTACTTCCAAGCAATTTTGTACAATTTCTCAAGTATGATGATTAAATATTGTAGCAATTTGTACAAATAAATTATTCGGTGATTTCACCAATTTGTAACTCATCCTCGAAATGAGTTATTAAACAATCCGCAATTATTAAATAATCCACGAGTCTGTGAGCTTACGGACGCTCGAAAACCCATCCGAATAAAAATGCAAATTTCGTGTATACGAATAATTCCATGCTGCAATCCCATTGTAATTAAAACATACACACACGCACACAATATATTATTAATCCCCGAAACACAAGACGATTAATCCACCGAAAAAAATCCAACACATACATTAATCCGCGCATAAAACATTAATAAAACCTAATAAAATCTTTGTTTGTTTTGTTGCGCTGCGTTTCGTTTTTTTCACTCTACGCTGTCGTTTCGCACGAACGCGCCACACAATGATAAATATAATAATTCAACTGATTCACATGCTACTCGTACATGAGACACTCCATCCAGAGTCACAGCCAGAGCCTTCGATGTCTTTTAACATTCAAACAAAACGCATAATATTTATACACACACGACACTCGCAGCATTTGTGTGAACTTTCTTATATAATCGATTCTTTCGTCTTAATTAATACCCGCTTGCCTAAGCGGCAATTAAAAGAATAAAATATTTTGAAAAAAAGTGTTGCTGTACTCGTAACACTCAACCTACAAATATTCATACAGAGGAATATATTATGTGCGCACCGAGGGAGGCGGGAAGAGAGCGGAACGTGTTTGTATTCAAATAGAATCTTATTAATCTCTGCAGCATGCAGCGCGAATGGAATTTGTATTCGCAAGAATGCTATGTTGGTGGTATGCAAATGTGCGCGGCTGTCACTTGCATTTGTCGTCGATAAAATGACGGATAATACCACTTATCATCGTTGTCACAAGTGTGAGATTAGTTGTATGGGCGTGATATTAAAGTTTGAATTAATCTACGGACGATTTGCGCACATTCCAAAGGGAAATAGTTGCAATTTCTTCTAGGAAAAAGAAATTATAGAATGCTAAAAGTGAAATAAAATTTATTTCGGAGAATTTTTCATATTTCTTCCATATTTTTAACATTATTTTGCCTTTTTTTTAAATTTTAATGTGATGTGGTAAATCTCTGATGATTTTTTATGACATTTTTCTTTAGGGGTTAATTTTTCCAAGATTTATATTTTAAAAATCGAAGTTTGGTCAGTGTTATTCGTTTTGAAATGCGGAAATTTGCAAAAATAAAATATTTGCACAATTTTTTTGGTAATTTTTCATCATAAAAACGTTTTTTCACGGTTCTGAGGCACAAAAGGTTATACTTTAAACACGGGCGGACAAGGCCGTGGCTAAAGTACTTTATTCTTTTATTCTATAACTTTGTCAAAGTTTATTTGCAAAAGAAATATTGAAATCGATCAAAATCTTGCAATTTTAATTAATTTTATTATTTTACGATTAAGAAACTCTCACTACCCTTAAATGTCTCCTAAAAACAAAGTAAAATCATGTTCCAACTTGTAAGTCTTCTACTTTCATTTAAACTTATATCATAACGACGTCTATTCTAGTTGTTAATTATATTGATACATTCCAAAAAAATCAAAAGACCCATTGACGCTAAAATGCGCCTAATTGTCAATTGTGTGTAATTGTTACCAGCGTGTAAATTTTTGGAAATTCCATGTTAATTACCCACACTACTAGAAGTTTTACTAGTAGTTTTATTGTCACATTAAATTGTTTAATTACCCAACCACGACAAAGTAAAAAAACCACACACATATGCATATTATGTCTACTGTCACACTGTGTTACTTATAATCATAGTCACATACTCATAATCACGCCGCTGTGTTAAATCGTGCTAATTACCAACGCGATGCGAGATTAGCCGAGATATGCATCAACATGTAACACAGCCGCCGATAACATCGCAGAAATCTAATATCACATGCACAAGATGCAAGATAACGGCGCCCGTGGGCGGCAAGCCATGAAAATGACACACGAGCGCATGTCGTAACATGTCCGCGTAACAATCATAACAATTGAATAACAATAAACGAGCGCTGGATTCCGAGTTGAAAACGGAACTGAATGTGTATCTCTGCGCCCGCCTAGGTGTAATGGGTGCTATTAGTCCTGTGCGCTAAGCTCTATAAATGTTCTTTGAAGCCAAGAATGACATTTGGTGCGGAGTGTTGTAAATAAATTACGATTAGTTATTGCCGCCGCCGTCTGAATTGCGGATCACTAATGCTATCGCGATATTGTGTCACGGAATTTATTATTAAGCGGACGCGACGGCGAACGCGAGCAAACGTCGTCGTTCGTTATTCGACTCAGAAGGCATTCGCGTTTGTCTGCTGTCGCATGGCGTTTGCGTTTTGTTTCATATTAAGTACATGTCATTGGACTGTTGGGTGGACATACTGAATGTTTCCAGAAAAAAAATTAGCAAAATCTTAATATTTTGCAAAAATTTAGAAAAATTTATTAATTTGTGATATTTTAATTTTTATCTAATTGTTATATTTATTTTTTTCAGGATGCAGAAAAGGGGTTGATGTTGTTTCATCAAGGTAAATCAATTTTCTTCTAAATTAATTTTAGATTTTATTTATTTTTAGTAAAATTTGTGAAATTTATTTAAACACTCTGTATCTCAGAAACCAGGGGTTGAATTTTAATCATTTTTTGACACGTTATAGATATTAACTTTATTTTTATTGAGGACTTTATTTCAACCCTGTAAATTCACAGGGTCATCCTTAAAACAACACTTAAAGTCAAAAATATTACGAAAAAATATAAAATTTTAAAATTTCATTCAAAAAACTTGGAATATCTCTTAAACTAATTTAATAAATTATATACTGTTGATGATAATTTATAGTCTATTAGACACTCTTTAAGATGTGATTAAGAGTTACCCTTAAATGTAACCGGAAGTCTTCTAAATCGACTTTCAAAACACCAAAAACAAGTTTACACACAAAACTCTATTTCTATACCACTCGGTGCGTGATATATACCCAACGCAAATAATAAATCCGCCCACGGATCAAACATTCGCGTCTCGAATTCTAGCCGATAGTCTCGAACCTATACTTGGCCGACGACATCGAAGGCGAAATAAATGCGAGTCTCTGGAGCCCCGGTCGCGAGCACTTATCGGTCGATTGCCTTTCCGATTCCATAATGTATGCGTGCATTTACGCAACAGCGTTTATTGGAAATGCAGCCGGTTCTTGTATCTACCATTTCGCATTTCGTATATATTTGTGGTCTATATTTCTCGGGCGAGAATACGAAAAAAAAATGTATAACACAATAAGCGAAAAAAATCAACACGAGATTGAAAAGTACACGCACACGCAAAGACACAAGACTCAAGCACGAGCGTCGAATCAGCTAGCGTTAAAAGTAGATTAAATAATAATTAAACTTTTTGAAAAAAAAAGATTGGTGCTTGGTATACGCAATCAAAAGTGTTTAATTTCGGTATTCACCATTTACTTACTTAATTTAAAGTAATCGTAGAAATTGATTAGTGCATGTTGCGTTACACGCATTATTATATAAGGCGTTAAGTGAAACAGAACATTTTGAAATTTATTTTGGAAATTTTGATATATTTTTTTTCTTTGATAGAGGAGTATTAAAATAGAATAATTTTTATTTAATTTTATGATAAAAAAAGCATTGTTAATGATTTTTTTATGAATTTTGAAAGAAAATTGTCATTAAATTAATTTTTTTAATGAAATTTGTGAAAATTAGTAGAAAATTGTCAAATAATTCAAAAATTTTATTAAAATCATTGAATTTTGAGTGTTTTTCAAGGAAAATTGTCAAAAATTTCATCATTTTTAATAAAATTTCGAATTTTCATAAAATTTCTTGCTAAAATCTTTAATTTATTTGATATTTTAAAAATGTTTGGTACCAGTATCTTGCTATTAAGTATAAATCATGTTTTTATTTTATTTTTTGATTTTTCTAATTTTTAACTTTGTAATTCGTGAAAGTAATTTGATGTCACATTTAAACTCTGTTGTTTTTACGCGAAAACTACTTTCGGCGCAAATAATTTGATACAAACACAATTAAAAAAATTAAAAAGTGAATCGTTCAAGGTTTGTTGTACATACACCGAGTTAGTTAGCATTTCAATTTGTTGAATTTCTTGTGAAAACCAACTGCTTCTAATTCGAATCGAAACAATACGCGCACGAAGGTCGCTCCGCGTAAGCGTACGCATTAAAAATTTATGCGCATGATGAATCGCACCCAGTTTCGCACTCGGCGCGAATTAAACAAATACAATTATTTAAATAAACAAACAAGCGAGCTGGTAAGTGTTGTTAACCTTAACACCCACTAAAATGACATTTTATATCTTTCTATGATAAATATTTTTTGCGTAAAAGATAAAAATTTATACTTATTGTGTTTTTAATTTTTTTATACTCAGAGTAAAACATATTGTATGTTAATGTTAATATGTATATAATTTAGTGAGTAATTGCTACATGCCGTGTTTAGTAATGGAGCGATTCGATTCTCGTAAGCGGGCGTTGTTACACGACTCGTTTCCGATCCGGCACGCACTAATAACAATTTCGTTTTTAATTTCCCGAACAATGGCGGCTCTGGCTATGGCTAACCTTCGGAGTGACTGCTTCAGAAATGAACTCGCAACTTTTAACAGTAATAACCAACAACTGCGTGCTCGCATTAGGAAAGTGTTGGCTTCAAGTGGAAGCACTTGCGATTGTTATTGATGAGTTTATTTGCATTCCAATTTGCAATTATGAATTTCAATTAGTTGAGTAGTCATTAAATTGTTTAGTTATTTGTAAAATGATAAAATATTTTTTTTATTTTTTTATAAAATTCACAAAATTTTATTGGTTTAAAAGTTTAAATATTAATTTTTGACAAAAGTCGATAGAGAATTAAATATGAATTTAGATTTAAATTATTTCAGCCTATAAATAATATATTTACTTAACTTTATTTATACCTAAAGGTTCATCAGTTTTTGTTAATAAAACTAATGAAGCTGATAAAGTCATTTTAGAAAACTTCTTGTTTCTCATTTCACGGTTATTTTACGTTAATTTCTTTTCTTGTTCTTGACAGCTAATTGAGCACTCCATAAATATGTTTTTATTTTAAAGTATTAACACAACCTGACATTTAATTCACACAAATAGTGCTAAAGACAAACTTTACAAAACTCCTTGTATCTTTTTATTAAAAATGGAAAGTTGGTATTTATTTATTTGAAATGCTAGCCGATAAAATATACTTTTCAATAGATTTTGTTGCATCCCTTAATTTAATTTGCAACTACCCTAAAATCTATTTTAAAATATTTACTTTTAAATTAAAAAAATATTTTTTATAAAAATCAAAGAACAATAATTAGTTCTCTAAATATCAATTATTATTACTATTGATAACTTAATTAGTGGAACATTCCGATATTGCATTAACTAACAAGGTTTCAATTACGACTATACTTCAGACGTCGATAAAAAAAATGTAATTATGTTCTTAGCTTCTGGAAATATTAATTTACCAAGGTATAAAGCTATGATTAAGTCCCCTAAGAGGATATAAATCGCTGCCAATTGAAAATGCATTGTACAGTCATTGTACTTACTTACTTACTGACTTACGTTACTGACTGACTACAACGAATTCGCAATAATTAATGCGCGTTTCGACCTTAAAACGTACATTTCACGACGCGATGCCTTCGAGCATTTCATTTTATTTGGTGTCATTCCATTAAATTTTTTCTTCTTGCTTATTTGTTGTATTCGTCATTAAACGAATGTGAGTATTGTGTGCTCATTGTGAGCATATTCGTGTATTGTGTTCATCGCAGTTGTTTGTTTTTGTTCGGTGATATTGTGATCTTTTACTGTGCGAGTACAGTTGTTATTGCTAGTGAAGGGAATGCAATTTCACGAGTATTGTCTTAATAACCTTTACGCTTTTACGTCGAACGCGCCGGATACGTGGAAAAAAGTATACGGAGAGTGAAAGAAAAAGGCTTCAAACCTTGAAAACTACGAGTACGTAAAACTTCCAAAATGATGTATAAATTGATTATTACCTTGTATAACAGCTCCGCCGTTTTCGGGTTGCGTCCATCTTAGGCGAATGCTTTTGGCAGTAGAGAATTGGACCTCGAGGGTTGGAGCACTGGGTGACATGATCACAAACAAAGAATAGGTTATGTTATCTTCTCCGAAAAGATTCTTGGCAGAGCAGGTGTAATTCCCAGCTAGGGATTGATCAGCACCTTTGAACAAAAAAATTCAAAAAAATCAAAATTTAATCCCAGTTGAATAATTTTGAAATACTTACTATGAATACTCAAATGTCCTTCCGAAGTGACTTTGTAAAAAGGACTAAAAGTAACTGGTCTATCCCGATGGATCCACCTGGTCCTAGGTGTAGGATTCCCAACAGCTAAACATGGCAATAAAACTTTCGACTTCACAGCCCTGTATAACACCTGACTGAAGGAAGCAATCCTTGAAGGTGCTTTACTATTAGTAATCTGCGTGGCTATTGAAGTAGGTTCTCCTTCCCCGACACTGGTTGTAGCGGAAACCCAAAACTCATAGGATTGATGTTCTACCAGATGTCTTACTTCGTATACCAGACCATTTGCATTTTGGGGTGTGTCTTCTGTACGCACTGTATAACTAGAGTGTTTACCCACCCTACCAGCATCTCTGTAGTATACTGTATAGAGAATGATACGACCGTTGGGTTTGACTGGTGGTAACCATGAGACTAGAATAGATTCTGATGTGAGGGCTGCTGCGCGGATATTTGCAGGTGGTCCTGGGAGGTCTTCCTCTGTTGTGCAGTATATTGGAGTGCTTAGGACTCCATCTCCTGCTCCCGTGTAAGCTAATACTTTAATGGAGTAATTTGTGTATTTATACAGACCATGGAGGTAAGTCTCTGTGCTGGGGGTGCGTTTTATTTCACCGGAAGCAGGGATATCCACTAGAGACATTTTTTAAAAATTTATAATTTTTGAATGCTTTAGGATTTTTTAACTTACCATTAACATCAGTTACTATTGGTCTGTAGTATATCTTGTATCCTTGTATAAATCCCCCATGTTGAGAAGCTGATGGTGGTGACCATGATAATTTCATACTTTGTGAAGATATTTGGGAACATTCTATCTCCCTTGGGGAAGCTTCAGGAACACCTTCTTTGGTAGTACCCACAATGGTCCCAGATTCAGGTCCTACTGATATGCTATTGAATGCTCTCACTGTAATATCATATCTGGTATATTTCTTCAAAGCAGTTATCTGTCCTTTGGTAGTAGCCCATCCTTTGACTGTAGTTGTTTTGGTTCCATTTGGAGGTTGACCTTGTGGGTTCCACGAAACTATATACCCTAATAACTCACCGTTCCATGATTCTCTTGGAGGTACTTGCCATGAGAGGGAAATTTCATCCGAACCTACAGATTCTACTCTTACATCTGAAGGTGGTTCCGATGGTTCTTCTTCCTGGGTCTTCACTACTACTTCATCAGCGAAGTTACTCTGGTCGATTCCGTTTACTGCTAGCATGCGGATTTTGTAAGCTGTTGCAGGGTATAAACCACCGATGATGGCACTTTCTGATTCTACTTCCAGGGAATTTGCAGGGAGGGTAATATTCTGTACTCCTCCAGCTTCCCAACGAGTTTGACCCACTCCTATCTGTTGATGTTGGACTAAATACCCAATAACAGGACTGTTTCCGTCAAAGGGTCGTCGCCATGCTAATCTTACACTTCTACTTCCAACTTCTACAACCTCCACATGCCCAGGAGGATCTGGTTTTTCCTGAACTGCTAAATTAATAGTATGCTCAGCTCGACCAAATGCGTTTTCAGCTAGACATTTATAAACTCCTGAATCTTCTCTATCGCTACGACTGATTGTCACTTGAGATTTTAATCCGTTGTCCGTCTTGCTTTCAGTCATCATTAATCTGTATTAGGGTAATGATTAAGTCTTAGAATACAGTCTGTGTCAGAGGTAGTAAATATACCGATAGTTATTGAGATCTAGTCGATTCCCGTTGAAACTCCAGAGGACTTCAACCGGAGTATCTCCGTAGACGTTGCAGACCAACGAGATTGGTGTACCTCGCTTGGTGGCAACATCTTTGGAGGGTGTATCAAAGCGCGCCGGTTCTGTAATTGCAATTCCGAGTGGAATTAAATTAATGACAGCTTAAAACTATCTCTTGGGATTTGATGGTTGTCGTAGTGGTTGTAGTTGCATCTCGAACTCGCAACGCGAAGGTGAGGACACATTTGTATGAATCTAACATACCGTTGACGCTGACATAGATGACTTTGCCGAGGCCGGAGCCAATTCCATTAGTCGCCCTGCATAGGTAATGCCCCTCGTCCTGTGGGCCAACCGCCTCCATCCAAATGGAGCCGTTCGCCAGCAGCACGCTGCGCCCGTGTAGACTTAGTAAGGGGTTGTAGTCGGCGGCAGTTTTACCTGCACACACACATGCAAACTCATCATGCACGTATCCTTCAACACGCGTATATCGATAATTTATACCTTGTCCTTTAAGCCACGTAATTTGCGGATGCGGGAAGCCTTTGGCCGCGCAGTCGACGATCACAGGGCTGCCTAATAGGACGGATAGATCCTGCGGTTCGATGATCCACTGTGGCGGAACTGCGAACACTCAGCCGTGGTCGATGAAAATAAAACGGGAAGAGCAGGAGAAAAAAAAACCGCACACACACCGCCGACGCATTCGTAATGCAATTACTCACAGTAGTCGTCCTGCGGCGAGCAGTATTTGCATTTAATTCCGGACTGCATCGCAATTGCATTTCGACACTTTTAATTTCAACGGCGCAACGGTGGTAAAAATTAAAATTCGTACCTTTTACCATCAAATGTGCGGTGTAATTTGCACGGGCTGCTGAATTCGCTGCGACACATGTATAGGCACCACTGTGTCGAGATGTCACCTCTTTGAAGATCAACATACTGTAAAATTCAGCTGCGTGTTCCTCTACTTGCAGCGAAGCGGTGATTGGCATGTCATTTTTATACCAGGTGAATTGGACTGGCATATCCCCGGAAGTGACATAGCAGGTCACCTGGGCTCTGCCACCTTCCTGAAGACTACTTGGGAAAGCAAACGGTTCTAATATCGGGGGACTGTGGACTATCAATTGGATATTTCTATGCATTGCTTCACCATCTCGGGAGGTCACTGTGCAGGTATACACGTCTGAATCAGTAGCTGGGTCTAATCTTAGAATGGTCAGGGCACCTCCTTCATCAAGTTTATGTCGTAGGTCCATTGGTAATTCTTGACCATTACGTCTCCATCGTACTGAAGCTATAGGGTATCCAGCATAGGGACAATGGAGAATTGTATCTGACCCAGCTACTGCTTTCTTAGGTCCTATTGATCTTATGAAAGGAGGTCCGTAGATGTTTAATCTCGCGGAGTGTTCTGCTGATCCTAGGGAATTGACAGCTCTGCATCCGTATAACCCGCCATCTTCCACTCGTACGTTGGAGATGTTTAAGTGACCTACTACATCGCCATTTTGGTCCACATATTGACCAATTGCATACCTGGTAGTATGAAGTTGGTTATTAAGATTTTTATAGTGGTTTTTTGGAATTTAACAATACCTATGTGCATAGGTGGTATCAATCAGTTGTTCCCCATCTAGTAACCACCTAAATTGTGGTGGGGGACTTCCTGTAGCTGAGCATCTAAGGGAAACCTGTGGTCTAGGTCTGATTGCTTGTTCGATGAATGTAAATTGCAACTCCGGGACAGTGTCTACATCGAAAACAAAATTGGTTTAGCTTAAACCTCGTTTCACACAAAAATCAGCGCGAGTAGATAATGTAATTGAAAAAATGATGACCCCGTCAATTTTTTGAAGAGTCAAAAGTGTGTTATCAGCAAAAAAGAGTCCGATTGCAGCGACGCGCCACGTCGGATAATTGAATTAAGCCCGAGGCGGGACAAAGCGAGGCGCAGGCTTAGCTCTCCGCAACTCGTCGGTGATGAAATGAAAAGTGATAATTCACGCCGCCATCGCCCATTGTATCCTGCGACACGGACGAGCTCGGTTTGCCGCACAATTCGCCTCGGTTTTTTTCCTCTTCTTTTGCCTTTCTGTTCGGTTCTACGCGGCGGCGGGCGAGAAAAATATAGCGGAAATGACTTTCCACATCCGTCAACAATATATCATGTAAACCCGCTTCCCTTTTCTTTCGGCGGCGGCAAGAGAGAAATAATTTCGCACTTGAATAAAATTGCCACCGAGCCCACCCACTGCAGTAGCATTTTCTTATCAAGACCGGAAATGTAAACAACTTTATCACCTTGCCAACGAGAGAAAAAATATCACTTGCGTAATTAAGGTTATAACCTAGTTAGAATATAACCTATAAAATAATTTTTAAATTTTTATAAGTACGTACCGCCAAGTCGTAGCTCAGCACTACCCTGAGAACTTTCACGGTCATTTTGCACGACGCATTGATACATCCCCTTGTCATGTCGGGTCACATCTACTACTGATAACGCTAGATTATTGAGCAGTCTCAGACGAGGGTTGCCTTCGGTTAGCAAAGTCTCCCCGTTGTGGAACCACTGCACGCGGCCAATTGGAGAACCGGAAACGGTGCAGTTGAACAGTGCGTTTTCTCCGGAATTAACCACCTTAAGAGAATTAATTGTGATTTGCTGTTGGGTTTTACGAAAGTTATGATTACTTGAAGCTGTGGCAGGATGTGCACGGAGAGATGTGCGGTCACCGTTAGGAAGATGTCCAATCTTTGCTCGCCGAAGTGATTCGACACTTTGCACGTCCATCTTCCACCGTCTTCCGGTTTCAGATTTCTAATGTGCAGTATGTCCTGCAGTGGAGAGATCCTGGGTGATGGCTGGACGGGTTGAAGTTGACCTTTTACTTCTCTAAACCAACTAATTTAATAATTTTTTAGTTAAATTTTTTAATTCAGAAAATTTTTGTTTTAATTTTACTTAAAAGTTGGTGGAGAATTTCCCTGTGCGGAGCACGTAAGATACACGTCAGTTTCCCGATCGGCAGACGCCGTCGTCTGCACGGAGGCGGCCAGACGCGGCGGCATACTTCCGGTGGGTTCTGTAAACGATGACGTCATGCGCAAACATTTGCAATGCTATTATCGTGCGGGTATCATGTGTCGATGTCGAGTCAAGATCGTTTACCATTGGATGCTTGTTTATGACTGGTTGCTTACCTGTCACCGTCAAGATGGCCGGCTCACTGCGCTTCCGCTCTTGTGTTAGTTGATGCATCGTTAGGCAGGAGTACTTTGCGAGGCCATCTTCGGCACGCACTGTACGTATGTGCAATGTGCCTGAACGTTGAACCACAACTAAACGACCTCCTATGGGTTTTAAAATAGACGATTTTATTTTTTGGTTTTGTTGTGGTTTATTTTGTATGGCTTATAATTGTCAGATGTAGTTTAGTTGCGAGTTGAATTAGGCGTCGATCAACATTTCGCCTTCAATTTGGCGCGCTCTTCGTGGCGCGTAACGAAGTTTGCGTTCTGGCGTTGTTAAAATAGCGTTTTCTTCGATTTCCCGCCCTTCGAGTGGCTTCGAGGGGGGCGAAAACCTCGGCGCGCGATAAATTCAATTCGTCTTTGCCGTAAACCGCCGCGCCACACGCTGATTGAATCCGACACGCTTTTCAGCGCGTCGGACGTGAACATAACCTCGATTGGCTTACAATTTTAGGTGTTTTACGATTCTAACGCAGTTTTCCCGCAAACAAAACGCTGAGATTTCCAACAAACAGCTAACAAAGATAAAAATAATTTTATCTTCATGATTATATTTATCACACACGAAAATTGTCAATTTTTTCCCAAATAATTTGGCGCAACATTTTTTTTTTCATTTTGCGTTGACACATTGGAAGATTTATCATATCGCAGGCATATTCGACGCATGGGCATTGATAACAGGCACCAACCCAGGTCATAATGAACTCTATCCCTCGACGTTTCCGCATACGCGAGCGTTTATTTTATAAATTAACCGACAGTGGCAGGAAACTGAAACCGAAACGAAGCGAATGCATAAACCTCGAAAACGCATAAATGGAACTCGTTGCAAGCCAACCGCGGCGCCGAGGGTGAGTTGTGCAAATGGAGGATGTACACACATGTGACTGCGTGACATTTATTTGTGGTCGCTGCGCGCATTCCAATGCGGATAAATTAAATGGAAAATATTTTCCAAATTTAAAACTGCTACAAACCACAAGAGACATCTGACATACCTCCATTTTGTATGAAACCAAAAATAGCGCATATTTTCATATTATTTTGAATAAACTCTATTTGTTTAGTATGTTAATCAAAAGTTCTAAGGTTTCCTAGTCTCCGGAGGCTTGTATTAAGCTCCTTTGCGCCCTTAAATTTGATATCAATTGAAGGGCGTCATTGTAATCAGACGCCGGCTTGAAAATATCACATTGCGTAACTTAACGTCTTTGTTCTCAAGCGGCGGTAGTTTTGTATTTTACTCACCCATATTCGAACCCGGAAGGAGAATGGTTTCGTCGCGTGACCATGACGTCACCGTCACGTGCTCCTTGACAAAAGCCGGAATCACACATGTTAATACCGCTGTATTTCCGGCGAGCACGTGAGTGTGATAGACTTGCACATCGTAATGTTGATTCACAACTGAAAATTTAAAACAAAAAAAATTAAATCATTTTTTGTACGATTTTATTCTTCCATCCTTAATATTGACAGAGGACATGAGTGTTTTGTGCTGCCGGCGAGGAATACGAAGACGCGTGAAGACGTTAAGCGTCAGCGTTTTATAATTCACCCCCGCGGGGATGAAGCATGGTGCGTTGGTGGAGTGTTTGCTAATGCCCGCCGGTGGTGCATTAGCGTCGCGCGTTCAACACTCAACGCGCATTGTCACACTTGCACTACCCCGCTTCTTGTTCTACACCCCGTTACTATCATTCATCGCTCATGAATATTTAAAAATTGCTGTCTGCGACGGCAATGAGTCTGCAAGTCCGTGAAATCGATGCAGTTTTATCTACTAGATAAAAATATTCTATCTGTCGAGTCGAGTAATTGCGCGGTGTGGGGGGTGGTGGTGGTAAAGCTTAATGAAGGGGGTGCTCATTATTTCGCGCCGCTGAGCCGTGCAAATATAATCAGCGGCTACTGTCGATAATCGGCTGAATCGCAGAAAACAACGCCGGAAAAGCGGAAATTTAAATGTAATTCTGACTTCCGGCGAATTTCACCGACTCTAATGAAATGCAATAAATATTTATTCATTTATTTGTGTAAAAACGCGTTAACGAAGCAAAATAATCGGTATTTATTTTTGTTTTAATTTAATTTAATGTAGGCAACACAATATACAATAACAATGGAGTACTATTTCATTTTATTCTCTGTTTCTGCTCGTGTTTTATTTCACTGCATTTCAATGCAAACACGGAATTAGAAACGTCGAATCGAATGAAGTCAAATCGACTTTATCCGCTTGTTTGCCTGCCGCGTTGCAGTCGCACAAGATTGATGAAGTTGTAATGAGGACGGACGCGTCGAACAAACCGACCGGGCCGCCATTGTTTCATTAATATGGATGTAATTTTTTTCCGCTCTCGCGTGCATAAAATTTGCTTATGCAGAAAAATGCAGTCTAGTCATAAATAAAGGTTATGTTGGTGGCGCAGCGCCACGAAACACGCGAAAGATGCAAGACTTGCACGTACATTATTTTAGGGGTAGTTTACACCCCTATCTTATACGAAAGCCAGAGTCAGAAAGATTGGACGCTTAGTCAACACTGTATTTATGCATATTTATGTACATGCAGACCGGCATCAATTGCGCACATTTTTCATCCCTTACGCGCTCATGAGGGTGGAAATAATCGGTGTGTTTGATCTTTCTATCTTTTAACATGTCAACATGGCAACAAATGAGAAAAAACTTCAAAAAGTTTGTTGTAATGATGAAAAACGCAGCGCAGAGGCTAAAATCATCCCTTAAATTATAAGAGCGTGAATATTTGTGCGATTAGTTTCTAATCCAAGCGCGAAATATTTTTGAACTGAATTCGAGTTTACTACTGCTAGTTTGTAACATTGTGGGAGCACCCCAGGGGGTGAATTTAGACGCGTCGCTGTGGTGCTGCCTCAGGGGTGTGTTTGGTAATCGTTTCCGACTATTGCGATCCGCGGCGGGCGGAAAACTAGCCGAATCGAATTTTCGCGACGTTTCATCCCCTGTCGGGGCGTCATGATGAAGGCAATCAGCACATAACCTCAATCAACTCAATCAACTGATATAAATTGTTAAATTTAACCGGAAAAATATTTTTAAAATAAAAAAAAAATAGTTTTAGTTTTAAAATGTAAGGTTATGTTTAGATTAGGGTGGTTTTTGTTTGTGGCGAAACAAAAGCACATTTCGAGGTGAAATTAATAGCGGGTAAATTAAAACCGGCGTGTTTACTCAAAGGGTGCGATGATGCTACTCGTTTCGGCGTCGTTTTATATTTATCCAACCTCTCTACGGACTCGCAGGGGGTGGATGGGGTTGAACACTAGTTGTGTGTGTGTGTTTGTGTGCGGTGTGCACATTGCGCATTACCGACGCCGAGGCCACACAGTCATTCATAATGCGCTCCGGCGAGAGGCAAAAAAATGCGAACGTGTGAATGGAAGCGTGCAGCGCCGCGCATTGCTACCCTGCGCAAACATCCCCCAGGAGTCCGACATTTGAATACACACTTGTGTTTGGTCCGTGTACGGCTGTGGTTGTGAATAGTTCATACTAGTGCATACCATGAATAGAAAGTGTCGAGAATCGCGCTTCTCATCCCCCGCTTTTGCGTCCGACGACCACCCTCTTATTTCACTGCCAACGTTTCAGTACTTGTCCACCGAATGGTGATACTTGTGTGTATATTTTAAAAAATACGCACGCGTCCAAATCATTACGGCCATGTTGCACAAAAGCGCAGGACGAACGACATGGTGAGAAATGCTCGTCGTTGCTACAACTTTGCAATTTGCGGCGAACACAAAACGGACGATCCCACACAACGCACCGGGAGCGTGAAACTCAAAGTCGGAGGATGTCATCTAACAAAGGATTCTATTTCCGGGAATTTCCGGTTTTAACACTCTTTGAATTCTTTGAAACGTTGTAAAAACATCTTATTTTTGAGTGATTTTAAGCTTGCGGTGAGGTTTTTATACACCCAGTGGATGTTTTTTTACACAAAATGCCACCAAAAGGTCAAGGAGGTAATAGTCTACTAGATTCTGCACGGTTTAAGGTTATTTTTTAATTGGAAGGGTGGAAAAATGTTGACACAAAAATTGTTTGCATTTCTAAGAAATTGTTTTTTTTTTCTTTTGAAACGAAAATTTTTAATGTTTTGAAAGATGAAATTAAGTTGCAATACTATTAAAATATAGAGAATTTAATTGTTCATCTAATCAATTAATAAAATAATTAAGTTTATTCTTGCAAAGACTAAAAATTTTAAAATAAAACTTTTTTCGCGATTTTTCAGTTGCCATTTTAATTTTTTTTACATTTTTGACTTTACGCTTCACCCTATATACTAAATTTTAATTTTAATGGTATCAAATAATAAGGGATGAAATTATTTATCATATAAATGAGTAAAACTTATAATTTTCCCCCGCTGAAGACAAAAATAACTCACAACAAAACCTGTTTGCTGCAAATGCTAAATTAACATCTTCCTTTAGCGCATTTTTCCTCCTTTTTGCAACAAAAGGATACGAAATAATCCCCTTTTGAATGCAAGCAGATGCGTCGAAGCGCAGTTTACATGCTCACGTACATGCACCCAGCAATGTCGAACACGTTCCCGCGAGGCGGGCGGCGAGGTGGAGGCGGCACGCGCGCACAGAGGGCGCGCGAAACGCACGCCCTTTCACGGACACATCGGGGTGATAATGCGCTCGCCGCGCTTCATCAACTTTCCGAAGCCATTAGCTAAATTAAACGTCTCTCTGTGAACGCGCTGCTCGCCGGCAGTGGAAATGTGCAGCAGCGCAGGGGTGGTGTATATGCTGCGCGCTTTTCACTTGAACAGATTGCAACACGCGCGTTGTGAAAAATAAAATTAATTCCGCTTAGCTTTGACCCGGTGCAGTACAACGGACACGGACGAACATAACGCATACAAAATATATATATTTATACAGAGTGTTTATTTAAATATTAAGAAAAAATTATATTAATTACCTGCTCGTATTGTAACATCCCTGCTGATGATGGTCCCGGCGAGATTTGACGCTCGACAGCGGTAGACGGTGAAATGCACGTCCTTGCGGTAATCCTCGGCGCGGAACGGCGGGAAGTACAGCGTGCCGTTGCCCAGCGATTGTCTGAAAGCGATTATTGAGGTGTGGCTGGTTGAAAAATGATTTCGCAAACCGGCGATTATTAATCGATTCCATCAAACCACTTCAATTTCACAGTTTCACGCATCCGCCATTTATATCCGATCAAATATAAAAAGAATCACCCACGCTTATCACAAAAACATTTCTCTTCTCTTCTCTTCTCGGGGGCGTAAAATTAATAGCTTAGATCAAATTATCATATATTTAAAAGTAAATGTCTAAATTTTGGTGAATGGGTGTGGGTGTGATTTCAACTTTGATGACCTATTTGTATGATAAAGGTATGACGAGTATCGCTTCATCTGCGTTTGGAGGGGTTAGGGGTTAGCGGATGTTAAAGTGACGTTTACGACCGTAGGGGTGTGTTTTAGAATTTAGAGCGATGGATGATCCGCACACGTCGCACTATGACCGCTTGCAATGTTTACATGTGTCGCAGAGGGTGAGTTTTAAGGGTTGGTAGAGGGATACGGGTTTTGGGACACACACAAACAAGACACGAGTGATAATTACACTCCCGGTGGGAATTACGCCCTTATTGTGTCTATAATCACCTTTATTTTATTTTCAACCCTTAAATTTAAGTAAGGTCCTGGAATATTTTTTTAAAATTTCTAAAAAAAATAACAAAATTTAATTTTCACTAAATATAATTATTGGGGATGTTTTATTATAATAATAATTTTAAAATTATTATTTTAAGTCCGTCCCTGATTGTTTATTGCTGATAATTCATATCTGCGTATGTAGATCATGCAATTTGTGTGCCGGCGCATGTCTAAGCCACAATTGCGTGCTAATGTGTCGACCGAAACGCCATCAACAATGTGCCATGAACATATACGCACCCCAAACCAACCCCTATCGCCCACCCCCATCGCTAATATGATTGATGTGTGAAATTAATTAATTATTAATAAAATAAACGCGTAGAGATATAATTAAGCCAGATGTACGTCACATTTCCGGTTTTCATGTTTCATAATAAATACACGAATTAATTAATTTCGTAACTGCTCAAACTGCGTACAAATAAATTAATTATGTATTTAATTATAGTATTTTTAATATTTAGTCGTAGGGCGGTTTTGTTTTGATTGATTTAATTAAAACTATTAGCTGGTGCGATAATAATATGTTCATGAAACACACCCTTAGGCAAACACACACGCACCCCTAAATATAGGGGTGGGTATTGTGCGATGTGATTCGCTCGGTGGATCGCATGAATGTTAATAACGTCACATTGTCACATTGTCACATGTGATATTCGTCCCCTTGCGCGAGGACTCGCAAGCATCCTTGCTGTCATCCGCAGGATTGAATTTATAACGCGTTATCATCATCGTCAAGATTAATTATTGCTGACTTTGCATCAGTGAACGCAACAAAACAACTAGGTTATGTTTTGACTTGCATAACCTGTCCTATCGTAACCTTTAGATTTGGTTATGTTGAATTTTTTAAAGTTAATTTAGACGTTGTACTTTGAGGTTAAATATCTTAGGTGTTTGAAGGGGTAGAATATTGAGTAAGGTATCATTTGAAAGGTAATTTAATTGGGAATAAATTAATGTTTATAATAATTTAATAAGTTTTATCAGTTTTTATTTATTGGTGTTTTAATAATTTGTTGTAATTTTTCAACAAAAAATTCAACTTTTTTTAAAATTTAAATTTAAGGTTAAATAAAAGTCAAATATGTCGGGAGAATATCTTATCGGGTAGAAAATGAACCAAAGAATGCGATGCAATTTTTGTTTCGATTGTGGGGTGAGTCGGATGACCCCAGTCAACCCTCAAAGTTGAAACACATGTTTTCTGAATTTTCTACTCTATCATAAATACAAGATGAAAATGTAGAACACTGTGTCTCGTTTTCTGTACTACCCCAACATTTCGTGTATTGTGTGCCCATCCTCCCAAAAATAAACCGCGCGTCACGTCACGGGGTTAAGGGGTTTTGCCGGGTAATCGATACCGAATATAGGGTGTACATCCCTGTGACCGAATAAATAATGGATCGACGCGCGCGGCGACTGCATTATGAATGTACGTGTCGCGAACGAAATGGAAACCGGAAAACCGGAATAAGCTTTAACCAGTCAGCTTTGCACTCATACCCCCGCACACAAAGTCGACGCGCGGGAAATTTTGTGAGTTTTGTGTGCTGAATTTAGTTAGATTGATGTTCCGGCTTTGTGCGGTCTCCTCTTTATCATTTTTTGCATGCGGACATTTTGCGTCGCGGGTTGCGGGGGCCCGGATTTGCATGATAGGTTATCATATTCTAAGCCTACACGTCGGATAAGTCACATTTTAGTCTCCTGAGATGATTAAATTGATTTTTGTGGTTGAAATATTTTTTTTTAATTTAGGTTATGTAACATTTTTTGTTGGAAAATTGATTGTTTGGCTAGTTTCGTAAATGATTAGAAGTTAATGCAGCGCAAATAAATTACACTTTGCGATATTAAAAAAGAAACGGCGACTTCCTGCTCCCTGAACACTCATTCCTCGTCCTTTCGTTTGTCGCGCCGAAACGTAAACACTTAAGCGATCTTAAGAAATAACAACTTTACTCTGACGGTAGCAAAAAAAGTACCAACACCGAAGCACACACACACACACACACGCGTTTACATTTTCCACGTTTTTTTTCGTCCGGTGCTTCGGCGTCTGGCCGTACTTTTTATTATTTGAATATACGCCGACACCGGGGTCGTCCTCTTTATCTAATAAAGAAGATAATTTCCACTGGGACGACGACGACGACGACGCGACCGCTGCACGACCGCGACAACGAGGGTGCTTTTTGGTGGCGGCGCGCCGAGAAAATTACTTTTCTTACCGCCGCGCCGCCGTCGCCGAAAAATTTATGGCCGGAAATGAAAAAACATATAAAGGAAATTATCCGGCGCGGCGCACACGCGACGAAAAAACTTAATTGAAACGTACAAATGCGATTTAACGATTACACACGTTGACAATTTTGTCTTGGGGGATGTTTTTGTGTTACGACAACAGGTTGACCCTGTTTAAAACATCAGAAGAGATGTTTTTGAGTGTTTATTTTCAACATCACTTTATTAAATCTTTTTTGACGTGGTTTAAAATATGTATATGAAGAATGACGGTCTAAAATTTAAAAAAAAATTTATTTTTGTGTTTGTTTGATTATTATTTTGACATCAGGAATCATACGACAATTATTTTATAGGATATTGATTTAAGCATTAAATTGCGCGTATAAATATGCAAACATTTGGTTAATTATTTATTTATTAAAACTGTTACAGCCCTCCAAAATTTATATTTTGAAATTTTAATTCTGTTAACTTCAAATCTCTTTATATTTTTATTGATGAATATTTTTACAGAAGTTATTTATTTATTCATTGTAGAATTTATTGTAAATTTTATTGTTGCCTGAATCACAATTTTATCTTTTATAGTTTATGAATAATTAACAAAAAACTTTGACTTATCATGTTTCTTTTTGTTTCAGACCGGTAAATTTCACTTTTGTCATATTTAGACGTCCCACATCATAACCAAACTATTCAGATGACAATTGAGGTTAGTAAATTTATATCTGTCAAGTAACCTATCCTGACCTTCTTTTATCTCTAAATTAGTAAAATAATTAATTGTACGTAAATTGCATGATGCGTTTAACCGCACCGGGGAAATTTAATCTCGCGCTAGATAATAATCATCACAATGACATCTATTATCGTGCGTAATTCGATATTCGGGGGCAGCGCGCACCCCTAATCAATTACATTAATAATGAAATACAGCGTATTATCCACCGGCGCGCATCGATAATTATTAAAATATCAGTGTCACACACACAAATCCACCCGCCCACTCTCAACCCTTGCAACCCTAATTTCGTGCATATACTCGAAATATTCATTATACCCTGATTAAGTTATATACGGAATTTAAGTGCATATTTAATGACCAAACCTCGCTGTAGGTTGATGATGCGAAGTTGGGATTGTCGAATGTGAACGCGGCATAATTTAAATTCATCCCATTTATAAAAGCGTCCGCGCTCGCGAATTTATTGATTAGATGTCCATGCATCCCCTGCTCACCACCCCCGCGGCCATCACATACGAGGAGGTTTGCTGCGGTGTGGGTGGTTTACAGATGAACACTGTAGGGTAGGTTTATTTCGGACGGTGCGACCCAATTCCATCTCGTTTCGTGAATTCCGCTACACACCCTCTCATGAGAGGGGGTGGAGGGGTTGCAAAATGAATGGATAGGTGAAAATGTGCAGCGGGTAGTTTTGCACAAAGCGAAAACTTTTCACAATTAAATGTTCATTTTCATTTAATTTCAAATTTCATCTAACGAAACTAATTCTGCAAGTTTTTTTTTTAATATTTTCGAGACAAATTTTTATGTAATATGTTATAAATTTTTATTTTTAAAAGTTAATTAAACACTGGTAGCTCGTTAGTTTCCGATATCTCTTGTTAAGATCGTCTTACGCGAAGAAAACGTGAGTCCTTCCCAATTACAAGAGTATACAGAGTGTTATCGCAAGTTACACCCTCGTCGTTAGTGTCGCGACGTCGAAAATGTGACTCTTTCTTGAATTAGTCTGCCGGTGCGACCCGAGGCCGGAAAAGCGGAAAGCACGCGCGCGCCCGCCAAAGACGAAAATAGACGCTCCGCGGGGAATTCATAATGTTTTCCTAATCGAACGCGAGCAGCCGTACGTAATGGCAGGAAGTCCTTCGCACGTGACCGGATCAACGTGCATCACCGTCGTACTTACATACAGTGTGGAATTTCATACGAGTCGTGGGGAAAAATTACCTCAGTCCCGGTACGGCCGTCACCGTCTGTCCATCCTGTAGCAGCCAGTCGACTTGGGGGGCGGGCGCGCCGTGCGCCGAGCAGGACACCTGCGAGCCGGTGGTGTTCGAGAAGGTGAGCTGCGATGGCGGCTCCTGCAGGAATACCGGCCCGTGGTTCTGCCCGCCGACTACTGCGAAAATGCGGAAAACAGGAAAACGTGATCAAACTTTGCTAACACCAGCACCAAGGAAAATAAGTTGATATTTTTAAACATAAAATTCTATGATATTAGAGGAGTAATGGTAACGATTGCGTTGGTATATGGAGTTTTCCGGAAGTGAGCGCAACTAATGAAAGACACTAAGCCGGCGCTTTCCCACATATTTGATCGTTAGCGTCGCGAAATGCGGAAAACTGCGGGGACGTGTTTGTGTCGCACCGTGGAGATAAAGTTGCAATGTTCATCACGTGTATATGTGGGTGGTGCGGGCTGCATCAGAGTCTCTCCTCGCGCCCTAATCGGATTTATCAAAGTACTTCATTATGTCGTGCAGCAGACCATAGTGCAGACCAATGAGGACAGCGTGTCCTTTGAGAATATTTTATGTTTCCATGCTAAATATTCTGAATAATTTGTTTTAAAGTATGCGTTGTGTAAATTTGGTTGCCTATCGATTTTCTTCATTTTATCGCTATCGGGAAAAAAAACGAAATTCGTTTTATTCAATCCATCCCTTGACTTTAACGCTTCCAAACCCCGCTGGGAAAATAGACAAATTTTATTATCCGCTCTAAACCGGGGGCGCTCTCGAACGAACGCCTCGGCGCGAATACGTTAACCCTAACATTTTCGTCACTTCCGCTTCCGGTTGCCATGCGCCATGCCCCAATCGCGTATATGACTTTCTAATGCTGACCGAACATGTATCAACTCAACGGGCGCTCGCGCTCGACGCTGACGACGAAAAGATATGAAACGTGAATTATGGATGCAAACAAGATGCTTAAAAAATTCTATGCATTTTAAAACCCAGCCACCCCCGACGCTCGCAACCAACACTCACACCCACACACACAGCGCCGAGACTAATATTTTTGTCAGCAAAACTTTTCCGGGCGACGCGACGCGGAAATTTTCGTTATTAAAAATGCGAACGAGTGACACATGGAAATTGAGACAGCGCAACGCCTTCGGGGGCGAAAACATCCCCCGGACTTTGAGAATGGATTATAAACAATTCGCAAGTTATTCCCAAACGAATATATTACGAACTTATTGGTGGGAAACTTGCGCGCGAAACTTTGCGGCACTTTCATCCCTTATTCTTGTGGGGTTGGGTTTTTGAAGAGTGATATTGTCGATCAGATGCGCAGTCACTCAATATGCGCAAGTGTGTGGAGAGAGGTTAAACGCCGATATCTTGCAACGCCATCTATCCCTCTACTTATCGAGTCAACACCTAAAGACACTTTAAAACTTTTTAAAATTAGATAAAACTTTTATCTACCAACTTTTACACAGAGGCAACTTTTTGGCATCTAGGATGACCTAGGTTATATTAGGTTATGTTTGGGTATTTTTTCGATCCTTTTATCATATTTATGCGTTTATTATGCAATTTCGTTTAATATACGTGCGACGTGGCTGCGTGACTTTATAAAAGGGTTATAAATAATTTATAAACTTGAAATTGCGGTGTCAACCCTTGGTCGCATGAAAAAAGTGTCGAAAAAAAAAATTACCAATAAATAGAAAGCAGTTATGAGCCGAGATGAGAAGCAGTAATTTTCGAAGCATTCCAAAGTGCGGTCAGGATGCGGTTGTGGCCAGAATATGCTCGCAGTTTCCGGTGCGTGATATTGGAAGATGAATGGACGCGCGCCGCTGAATTATCGTGCATTATCAGCGCCGCACTGATAACGTGCGCGCCGAGCGTGGCCGACCACGAGCAGTCGCATTCTCGCATCGTACTACAGTTGCACCGCAAGAGCAGCAGGAGTGTGAGCAATGTGAGGTGTGAGTAGTAGTATTACTACCTAGAGATACGGGGGAGTACGAAGTGGTTGTTGGCTGTATGGGGTGTGCATCCGATTGTGCGATGTGCGATGTGCAACAACCGGTCCATCCGTCGCGCAACCGGCGAGATGGTTGCGTCCCGGATGATGAGCAGATATATTCATGAGTGCATTGTGCATCCAACTTTACATTGTGGTCACGGCGAAGATATATGTTTTACTAACAAAGAATTTCATCATTTTTACAAAATATCCGAAATTGGTTGTTTTAAAAGGTTTAAACCATGATTTCCGGGTTAAATCAGGATGTTATTTCACGTCCAGAATATTATTGTTTTCATATAACCTGTTTCTGCATCAATAACAATTTTGCAAGGTGATATATATGATCCGCTGCCAAATATTACGAATGTGGGTCCTTGTGTAAGCAATTCGGAGTTTTTCCCCCCGGTGTCTGGTGTCTGGTTGCGCTTCGCACATCCGAATTTCAGATTTCACCTCCGAATCTGTTTACACTCTCCACTTCAACTCGTATTCGTACATTTGGTCCAGATACACACCTCAATATCGACGATTCGAATCAATACCCGCCACACGTTTCGTGCAGAATCGGCGCACAAATATCACCGACCTACGAAGCTCGCCGGCGCGCGCTCTCGTCCACTCGACGTTTACCTTTGACGATTCACGTGAAATACATATTACCGTTTGATCCCGACTAATGAATTCCAAACCGAGCCTGATTGAATTGTGACCGCAGAAACAACGAGCGGAAGCTGCCGAGGAGCAAGAGTAAAAGCCACCCATCTCAACGCGGTGGTGGTGGTAAGAGGAGCGCTGGAAGTGATCGATTTCGATGGAGAGCAGTTCGAGGGGACCAAGAGGAGGTCAATCCGCGTTATCCTTTGAGGTCCAAAGTCTATGTTATCGTTCTTTCAACATACTCTGCTTTTTACTTTGGTCGTAATCATTTATTTTTTGTATTGTGGGATAACCAACATCTGAATCTTGATTCTTCATCTTCTATAGTCCTTTGCGATATTTATCTAAGCTTTGAAAAATACGCATTGTGAAGATCTTTCTTTCATCTTATCAGATTGATATAGCTTAAAATATTAGTCTTTACTTTTGATTGATTTCCACCTCCAATATAAATGGGTCACATTTAAGACCTTCTAACCTTCCCCCCATGTTGATGATGAGTTGAGCCTGCCCCCGGTTCGCCAGTCATCAGTTTATAATCGGCTTACATATTCCACGGTTGCCAGCCTGATGATACCTAGGACAGATTAAAAAAAGAGAAAAAAATCTCTGTATGCTGCTGATACCCTGATAGGTACTAGGCAACTACAACCCTCCTCTTTGCATCGCGCGCTTCTACTTGAACGCGTAATACCGCATCATAATCTCGTTGCAAAACGACGCAATTCTTTTGCTAGCCTTGTAACCTAGCAGCCAGGCGCTGAGAAATTATTGCCGTGCGAGCTTTCAGCTTTCCTCGCCCAGCGGGAAGAGCGGAAGAGGAATGTGCACACATTAAGAATTGTATATCTTGCTGTTTGCACCACGCCGCTGTTTTTCTTCGTAAAGCAACCCATTTTGACAATTAACTTTTATTTCCTTCGGATGATAGTTAATTGGAGCTTTTAGTAGCAGAACACTCAAGCAAAATAAAAAGAAATACAACGTTTTATGGAGCACAATGAATAATTTAGAATCAAGAGTGTCATAAATCATTCGATTCAAGTGGCGTGGTATGAGTTAACCTCAATAATTATAATCCCACATCCTGGGGTTTCTCCGAAAAACGAAAAAAGCTTCTATATACTATGATGATCATTAATCTTTCCTGTTGTTCGGACGTGTTTTCTTTTATTTGTGTTTTTATTTTTGCAACGTGTACCTTGTGATTGTTCTTCCATTATTTATGATTTTTTATTTTTTGTATATCGGAGCTTTTTGATTACACGCCGCTGAAAGCAATTGCGTAGCCATTATTTGCAGTTTCTACTTGTTCTACCTTGTTTCCAATTTATTCGCCATCTGAAAGTGGAAAACTGTAACATTTATTTTCGACGAGGAGGATCGATGTCGGTGTGCCGGCGATTGAGTATTAAATGCCGACGTCAATTTCATCCCCCACGTGCTCGTACGTGCGCGGCGGGTACGTGCCGCGGGTCAATCCGACCAAAACGACTATATTTCGAATTCCGGCCGGCATCTTCCTCTCCTTAAGCTCGAGTCTGGTCGGAACGTCTTCTCTCGAGTTGTAAGCATTCAAAGCTTTTCCACTCATCCGGGGGCATAGACGGATGGTGGACGAATGGATCCGCGAGTGTTTATCAGTGTAAGTACCTACTTCGGGACGATCATTCCCACCACCAACATCCAAATCTACCTGCTATTGATGTATTGGTGGAAATGGAAGCACCAGGGGAGCTTTTGATGTTGTGCTTGTCGATGTTGGTGATGTGCATATTTCATCATTTGAATGCTGGAAGCAGGTCATGAATCGGCCCGAAAAATTTGCTCACAGATTAAAATACAAAGTGTTACAGAAAACAGCTTTAAATTAAAATCGCAAATATTTGATTTTAATGTATGTAGTTCTAGTATGTACTTGGAATTGGTTTAAAATCTGTTTGGTTCTACCTCCACTCTACTTGTAAGCGGAAGCGAAAATGATGTTTGCAGGCAGCACACACTATCGGCGTGTAAATTTCATATTAACATGTTTAATCCAGTGTGACCGCGCTCGCGCTCACCCCCGGACTCACCTAACCGGATTACATCCCATCATGCAAATTAGTGAGTGATGAGTTTCCCAGGAGTTAGCTCGACTCCTAGTGTCATGATGCAATGTGACTATCAACAACAATCGTTGAAATATTTTTGACTTTCTACATCTTCAAGTCATCGAATATGCATGACTGTTTGTGAGTTGGTATCGCATTGCATCGGAGACAAAGATTCGAAGGGGAATAAACCGCCCCCAGATGGGTCGTTTGGACGCTGTGTCACTTTGCTCGGCTCAATTTCGAAAACGATCCGAGGTGTCTCGACCGAAGCGTCCGAGGCTTCTGTTTCAGTTGCTGCTTCATGTGTGTGTGTATTTGGAGGAATCTAGCTGGTGTCGAGTGACAGCTCAATATTTTATTCATGACGTTGTCGTCGGTTTCCATCAATATTCCATATACCGAGCAAGTCCACAATAAACAAAGGAAAAGTGCCGCGAATGTTAGCAGTGCGAAAAATTGTCGAAAACTTTCTAAATTTAGCAGAGTTGACGTTTGAGGTTATGTTAGATGAGCCATCCGGCTAACTCACCTAAAACAGCGGCGAGCAGACCGAAGACGGAACAAAGCAGCGCCGCAACATCCATTTATCCGACGTGCTCACTTTAACATCCCCCGCAGGGGGTTGGCGGACACCTGCAACGCAAAGAAAAATTATTTCTTACTTTCAACCACTAACAAAAAATATATAAACCTATCTTTTAAAAAGAATATAATATATAAATTTATAAATTCGACATGTTTCATCCCTTGAAGTAAAATAGTAAAAAAGGGTTGTTAGTACAAAAGAATAAGGAAACCGCTGAGTTTCGTATCCGTATCGAAATTGGTATTATGAATTTCGAATAGAGAGAAAAAGAAAGGTTTCCTTCTTCTTTTTGATCCGGTTGTGCAGGGGTTGGTTATTTCCTTTTCGGTCTCGCATCCCCGGCTAGGTGAGTGATTTATAGGCGGCGGCGATCAATGTGTGGCTGGTAAGCAATTCCGCCTCGGACGGAATAACGAAGTAACGAACGAATAGAAATAGAACAGTGGATCACATCAACCCGCTCGAACCAAGTCCAATTCGCAAGAAAGCAAAGAGTAGACGCTGAATGCGAGAAATGGTGGCTAAGGGTGAAGGCGTGTTTGTGGCTACGACAACCGCTCGGTTGATGAAATAAAGAGTGGGAGGTGGTTTTCCATGTTTAGATAAATACATCAGCACCGTTCTATTTTTGATTTCTTTTTGCACTCGAATATTTTTGGTTCTATTGCATCGATTGAGGTTATGTCGGGTCGTGCGGGATTGACCGCGATCCGGATTTTAGCGATGATAACCGCGAACTGTATACTGTGTTTGTGTGGATTAACGCTCCTGTTGGCACTATCATCCCCCTAGTGCGCTGCGGTCGGTATTACGCTCTCGGTGTTGATGATGGCAAGCGCTGCGCTCGTAACGAGGGCGGTTAAGAGAAACGCTTGCCAGACGAACCCCCTCTAAACTTAAATCCACCCCCGCGCTCTTTATGAGTTTGCAGCCAACATAACCTCAAATCAGATAATTCCACTGTTTTAATGCTAGCACGGACCTGCGCTTCTCATTGCGTATTCCATTTCCATCTAAAATGCCATTTTCATTACGCGATAACGCGCTTCATTCTGCATGACGGTCATTCTCTCATCCATTTAGACTCGCATGTGTGAAAATAACCTGTTTTTTATTCGACTGTTGAGTGCATATTTGGTAAGAGTAGCTGAAAAGTGCGCGACACTTATTTAAATGTGTGTAAATTTAAAACATCCAATTTGGTTATGTGCTATTTACTATAGGCAACCACACATGCAATAAACAAATAGCATAGATGAAACAATAAGTCTTTTCTTTTACACAACTCGCTGGTGGGTTTCCCTCTTGGGGATAGTGAGCGACGTACACTTGTAATTTTCCTGAAACGCATCGTGTTTATTTATTTATACGCTCTGTAATCATCCGTCTTCTTTACTTTTCATTTGTTTCACAAACAAATATAGAAAATTAGTTTCTTTCTTTTATTTTCAATTTTCGTTGGAGTGTGTGTGAAAATTCAAATTAATTCGTTTTTGTTTGAATTCGTGCAAACTTCGAACTCCATTTGCTTCCATTTCTGGCAGGCGGTTAATGCCGCCGCCGCCACCGCCGAGTGGATGTTGTCATAGTTGCAAATTCGCCACGTTCGCCGTGGTGCTCTCACGAAATCGATACGCTCATCTCGCGGAGTGCCGTCGAATCTATTTCATTACGGATCAAGTGCATGTATACACTCCGATATACCGGAAAAACCGTTAATTCTACTCCGGTCTCAAAACATTTCTTTGTTGGTAAAAATTTAAATCGGTTCGATACGCAATCATCGTAAATATCAATTAAATTTTTTATTAATAAAAAAACTGCATAAAAACTTATAATTTGTAGAATTTAAAAGTGTAATTACTTTCTGCGCTAGCCTGTAGGTGGCGTGATGGTAGCCGAAGTTGTTACACTACTCGACGCCACACTCTACGTTTTACACGCTCTGCCCGTCTATTATAGATGGAAACGCATTCTGATTTCATCTGCCTCAACCCCCCGAATCCTTGGGAGGGTTTGATTTGGGGCGCTGGATACTTCCGTTCTCCCATTGACTCGCGTCGATCCAATCAGCGTTGCAATTATATTCAATTATTGAATCAATCAAGTTGGCACACACTGCGGAGCCGCCGCCGCGCGTTCGCACTCCGATCCGAGCTAATAAATCTTTATTCATCTCGGAAGGAAAGTGCACTAACAGCTTCTAACAGCACACTACCTCGGGAAAGTTTTCCGGCAAGCGCGCGGTAGTCGAGTTGAAGTTGAAGTTAAACGCTCGCACGTATTGAAACTATCTTTCGTCAACACTGAACGCACACTTAATACTCCGACTTGCAGAATCGACATTTGATACATTTGCTAACGTTGCAAGGTTGAAAGTTTTATTACTGAATGTCTTTAGAGATGGGGTTAGTGATCTGGGGTGAAAAGTTTATCATATCGTATGTTGAGAGAAAAGGGAGGAAACTCGTGTCAGAAACTGTTTTGCATGCACTTTGATCAGTTTTAATCGAAGCTGTCATAATTCAGGTGGAAAAGGTCTCTTCTCATTAAAACTTGTAGCTGCATATTTCTGAGAGAAAAAAACTGAGAATTTTGCTTGGAAAAAAGTGTTTTATTGTGAATTATTGAACCTTTATCAATTTAATCTTTTGGTATAGAAACATCTATTTCTATTAACTACCTATCGAAAATTATTAGACCGGGTAATAAAATGTTACTACATAAATCCTTGACATAGCAATAAAATAAAAGAAACACCACATTGCATGATCATATATCTCAATTTGTAATTGTGAGGACTCGAAAGCAACAAATCTTGCTTGTCCGCTCAGGCCCTGAACGCTTTCGCACATCTTACATCTCACATCTAACGTGTGGGACATAAAAAACGTATCTATAGATTCTCTTATTATATCGATCTCCACCCGCCAGCAATTCATCTCCCCGTTGTGTCGTACACAGTTTTGTGTGCCGTGAAATTGTGCGGAACATCTGCGCACAATTCACCTTCGAGACGCTACAAAGCTTCGACGTCGGAGAACGTGTGTTCCAGCTTGCTACGAACATCGGGTAGCTGTCCTCCACCATTGGTGTTTTGTGTGCGCTCGGTGTGTGGCCTACACACAAGTGTGCGCGTCGGTGGCGTACAATGGTCTCGTTAGTAATTGACTTCGCAACCCCGGCGCTCGGGCAGCTTTCAATGGCGACGTTAATGAGGCGCAAGCACTTGATTTTTTTCCCATTCATGCGATATCAGGATATCAGTATTTTTTCGCAGCGGCAGTCGGGTATTCATGCGGAGGGAGAAAATTATACCCACTTATGACAACTCGTCAACGAGGCGATGTAATGAACCGTCTTTCAAATGACGAGATAACGAAATAAAGTTGTTTTAAGAGGAATCTTAATGAGATATGCGTTCCTGCAACCTTGTGTTAATTGGGTAGTATAATTTAAAATTATGTAATTTTCTAATTTTCATTTTTGCAAAAGTATAAAGTTCCTTAGTGTATTTTTTCTTTCAAAGTTTTGCGAAACTTCAAAACCCCCGAAAAGTTTGATCAACTTTTTGCTTAACTTTGTTTTGTTTCTTTTCTCCTCACATCCGCCATTGTTGTGAGAGGTTTTGAGGTTAGGTGGGAGAAGTATACAATTGAATTCTTTATAACGCATTAACTCCGAGAATGTTTGATATAATAGAAAATCAATTTCCGTTTCCCTATTTTTCCGCGCACTAGCACGTTCCTTCGCTGGCAGTTGGGATCTTTTCAGTTCCCCGTCCATCGGCATCGAATCTTAGGCTTGAGAAGCTTTTCGCCGCGACGTCGTCCTGCATTGCTTCGCGTTTGTTGAGCCGGGGGGGATGGGGAGCATTCTCATTCACGTGCTCATTCGTATTCTCGGGTTTTGAACCTCAGACTAGCTTAGCGGGAGCGCTACCTCTATCCTGCACCTCTCCACCTTCCGGATTCTCATTCGCCAATTCGCATTCGAATCCCCGCGTGATGCTGATGCAATGCCGGTAGTAAAAGACGCGGACGTGAAAGCGTTCTCGGTGTACAACGCGAAGCGGCGAAAAGGACCGCCGGCATATTTATTTATCCTTTTCCGCTTTTCCGGCGTGCCGCGTCGTGCCGCCGCATTCGAAGCTCTCGGCTAGATTACTTCGCATTATCCTATGCCGTGCTCAGCTATGCGCTTCCATAAAGTAATTGATTTAATTATCCGCGTCCATTTTACGTGCACTAGTGCGCCATCTACCGCACTGTTTTGTAATTGCGTTTCGAACTATTAAAAATTAACTTTTGCTTAAAATTTTCCACTAACTCTCCAAGTTTTAAATTCAATTATTCAAAGAGATTCTTTTATCACATTCTAATTTAAAAAAAATTATTAAAATGCTATTAATATCTTGAAAATTAAAATAAATTTATTTTTGTTTCAGATCTACGGCATTTACGGAGATATTGCAGACCTGGGTAAACGTATTTCTTGCCTATTACTACCTATTACTTCCTTCACCAAATGAACTAAACATTTTGACTTTATTTGCGGTTTTGATTTCAATTGTTTGATAAAAATTAAACCGCTTTCAAATCTGAATGCCGAATATCGTCGAGTACTGCGTGAAGTGTATAATTGTGCGCTTTGCAGCCGCATAACACCACGGTACAGTGCTTTTAATAAGCCGGGCACGACTGGCGGGCGTCGCGACGTCGCTGACGACGCCGTGCAGGGCTTTATAAACTTTGCGCGCGTCGCGCATTCGAACGCACTTAAACGGCAATTATCGCATTGTTCCGCTCCGGCGCGACCGCACAATTATCTCTAATGCTCCCAATTTCGCGCGGCTGGAAATTTATTATCTACGATTTCGCTCATATTCGTCTCTCTTGATTCACTCGGTACACTTAACTTCACGATTCATTCGCCAATCATCAAGCAAAACATCAATTGATTATAATGTTTATTGGGCTGTATAATTTCGTGCGTTGCAGAATGAGATTAAATAGTTTTATTTTCTTTTATTGGAGCGGGTGAAAAATTGTGGCAATGCCGGAAAATAAGAAAATGCGTTGGACAAATCGAGGTCGGTGCATTCAGACGTGAGCGCGCTTCGGTTGTAATGAATAGAAAACTCTATAAACTAATTACCATCAGTTATTTGATCGATGGAGAGCCTCGGCGCAACAACGCGAATCCTATTAGACGAGCGCCGGCCGACGTTGATTGATGCACTTACATTATTTACTTGCGCGGCGCCTCCGCTACCGAAGGATTTGGCGAACAACGAGCGCTCGAAAAAAAAACGACAACTCTGGGAAGAAATTTTAAGCATCAATAAATGGTTTGTACCGTACGAGCGTAACAACGGCAGGGCGGGCGGATGAGGTTTTACTTAACACGTTTGCGTAGCATTTAATCTTTTAAGCACTCGTTTTAATTAATTTTCGAGGGCGAAATCTAACGTTACAAAAAATAAGCCGGAAATGGGTTTAGTTGGTTTAACTTTTTTTACAATGCGCGGGAGGTTTTTTGCCGAATCGTAGAATTTATATTAAATTGTAGATAATTGTTTATTTCCTCGTAGATAAAAGTGTTTTTGCGAAAAGTTGAAAAAAGTTTTAGTTTGTTATTCAAGTTTCAGATTTTTTTTGCTCTTTTTTGTGAACGCATACTTTTAAAACACAAACGTTCTTTTTTTTACTATTTCGAAGTCACAACAATAGAAATGTATTTTACTACTGCCATTTAGAAATTTTCTGATGTAGATATTAGCGTAGCAGCAATAATTTAACGTATAATTTTTGCGTTTAAGTTTATTAAGAGAAAAGCGTAGTTGTAAATTACATTTTTTGATGAACATTCCTGAGAAATTCAATTCGAAGCGCAGTATTCGGTATTCGGAATATTAGAAGCGAAATGAAATAAACGGCTCGGACTTGAAGCTCTTCAACAGAGTCAAGTCAACATTCCTTCTATCGCTCGAAGCGCTTAACATCATGAATATTAATTTTTTCTATCGTCTTTGCCAAGCACCCTCGCACGCCGGCATTCACTCCATCTCTGAAAACTAATAATAACTTGGTGGAAATGGTAACAAGCTTATAAATCCTTACAAAATAACCCCGAGATTTAAAAGCCTATAAATTCTGCATAATTTTTACTCTAATCTATAAATAATAGTTGTGCTTACTGATGAGATAATCTAAGCTTATGCATGTTGAGCTAAATCTGTTATAAATGAACACGTTCGGACGTGCAGATGAACATTAATAATGTCTAGCGACTAGGAAATTGACCGCGTTGCATGACCTGACGAAAATTCTCTCGGCGCGCTGGCAAAAAAGAAGCAAAGCTAACGCTGAAAGCGCTAGAATCAGTCACGCCGTGCACGCATCCCTCCAGCAGCAGCAAAAAGCCGGAATAACTGAATAACGTTTTGCCGGCAATGTTGATGCGCTCGCATGGTGAGACATCATTTATAAACGTCTAGTCAACATTTACATTTCAACAATTTCACCGCGAGCAAAACCCAAACGTTGGGCATTTTTCATTATCTTCTCGCACAACGTACCCAAACACCCCACCCATCGTCCATCTTCAGAACTGTTTCCGATTACACTGCACACACAAAAAATGGCGCAGTGTTGCTGCTGCGAGCTTGAGTGGAAACAAACCTTTCTGATTGTTCGCGATCGCACAAAGTGTGAAAGTTTCGTCGACTTTTCGAAATTCGGCGAAACGTTGAATTGTATCGCGTTCAGTAAACAGCCAGGCAATAAGTTTCCCGGCCCTGTCTGCAAACAACAAACAAACGTCGGCGGCGACGGCTGGTTGTTCGCAAGGTGTGAAAAATGGAAAGAGTTATTTCCAATTTCAGCGCGTGTCATCGCCCCCTTTATCACCGGCGCGCGGCGTCGCACGCGATCGAGCGCATGCAGATATTGAATTGACAAGCGCGTTGAGGAAAATGTAATAATAAGACGCCGGGCGAAGCGCGCAAAACTTACGTGGTAACACTTGTTGAATGTGAGTTCCGAGAAACGGAACGACAACGAGAGGAAGTAAGGTGTGCGTGTATGTGTGTGTGGAAAGTGCTTATAGAACATCAGAACATGCATATGCTTCCACCTTGCTTCTTGCTAGATTCCACATTCTGCATTCTACAACATTCTGTTGCACACGAATAATACCCTAGCGTGGCTGTAAAGTGGATTGAGTCGGTAGCAGATGTCGAGGCTCGTGATAGATCAAGTGTGCGATCGTCATAATAATGCGAGCGTGCACTAAAGCGGTAAAAATGCGCGCATAAAATTGTTACATCGCATATAGCGCAAAATTGAAAAGATACATAGATATAGATATAACGATAACGTTCAATTTTACTAACTTTCTTTATTTACTTTCTACAAATTTTTATCAATTTTACTGTATGTTGTGCTTTTTTCAGACCCATATCGACAACATTGCAATAAGGAACAATTTATGTTTTTGATGTCTTTGATTATTATAGAATAAACTGAATAGTTACTGAAAAATATATGTGTAATTTTTTACCTTTTTCTTCGTTTTCAGGTTTCATATTTAAGTCAAAATATTAATTCACCTCATTAGGCTTAACGTTATAGCATACTTTCAAATTCCCTTATATAAAGGGAATATATTTGACAAACTTTTGGGATCAAACCTTTGGGATATGATCCAAAATGCCCTTCAATATTTGCTATTTTAAAAAAAATGCCCTTTTTGTGTTTTCTGGTCCGCTATCTTTTTAATTTTCGACCCGAAATTGAACGCGAACAATTCAAATTATGTCGAAATACCCTCGAAATATAATTTGTGGGATATAACAATTTTTCCATTAGTTTTCGACCCGAAATTAAACGCGAGCACACACTCACACACACACTGCATATGTGAACCAGCGCATGTGTGTGTGTGCCAGTTCAATTTCGGGTCGAAAACTAATGGTAAAATTGGTTGGTGTTATCCGGATCCCAGAAAGTTGAGGAGGCTGAAAATTTTCGAGGGTATTTCGACAAAATTTGAATTGTTCGCGTTCAATTTCGGGTCGAAAATATCAAAAACTAGCGGAAAGAAACACAAAAAGAGCATATTCTGGGCGAACGGGATGTCGTAGAGCAACCATTCTCTCACCAAATTAAAAGTATTAAAATTCTGCATAATATACGTATATAACTTGTAGGATTAACCTTCGGGAAACCCATATAAATGCCCTTTTTGTTTTTAAAATTGGTACATTTTTGTGGTTTTTTGCATTTTCTGGGCGAACGGGATGTCGTAGAGCAACCATTCTCTCACCAAATTAAAGGTATTAAAATTCTGCATAATATACGTATATAACTTGTAGGATTAACCTTCGGGAAACCCATATAAATGCCATTATTGTTCTTAAAGTTGGAAAGTTTTTGTGTTTTTTTGCATTTTCTGGGCGAACGGGACGTCGCAGAGCAACCATTCTCTCACCAAATTAAAGGTATTAAAATTCTGCATAATATACGTATATAACTTGTAGGATTAACCTTCGGGAAACCCATATAAATGCCCGTTTTGTTTTTAAAATTGGTACATTTTTGTGGTTTTTTGCATTTTCTGGGCGAACGCGATATGGCAGAGCAACCATTTTCTCACCAAAGTAAAGGTATTAAAATTCTGCATAATATACGTGTATTATTTGTGGGATTAACCCTCGGGAAACCCACAAAAATGCCCTTTTTGTGTGTTCTGGTCCGCTAACTTTTGTAATTTTCGACCCGAAATTGAACGCGAACAATTCAAATTATGTCGAAATACCCGCGAAAATTTTCAGCCTCCTCAACTTTCTGGGATCCGGATAACACCAACCAATTTTTCCATTAGTTTTCGACCCGAAATTAAACGCGAGCACACACTCACACACACACTGCATATGTGAACGAGCGCATGTGTGTGTGTGCGAGTTCAATTTCGGGTCGAAAACTAATCGTAAAATTGGTTGGTGTTATCCGGATCCCAGAAAGTTGAGGAGGCTGAAAATTTTCGCGGGTATTTCGACAAAATTTGAATTGTTCGCGTTCAATTCCGGTCGAAAAGTACAAAAATTAGCGGAAAGAAACACAAAAAGAGCATTTTCTGGGCGAACGGGATGTCGTGGGGCAACCATTCTCTCACCAAATTAAAGGTATTAAAATTCTGCATAATATACGTAAATAATTTGTGGGATTCACCTTGGGGAAACCCATATAATTGCCATTTTTGTTCTTAAAGTTGGAAAGTTTTTGTGGTTTTTAGCATTTTCTGGGCGAACGCGATATGGTAGAGCAACCATTTTCTCACCAAAGTAAAGGTATTAAAATTCTGCATAATATACGTATATAACTTGTAGGATTAACCTTCGGGAAACCCATATTAATGCCCTTTTCGTTTTTAAAATTGGTACATTTCTGTGGTTTTTTGCATTTTCTGGGCGAATGGGACGCCGTAGAGCAACCATTCTCTCACCAAATTAAAGGTATTAAAATTCTGCATAATATACGTATATAACTAGTAGGATTAACCATCGGAAAACCCATATAAATGCCCTTTTTGTTTTTAAAATTGGTACATTTTTGGGTTTTTTTGCATTTTCTGGGCGAACGGGATGTCGTAGAGCAACCATTCTCTCACCAAATTAAAGGTATTAAAATTCTGCATAATATACGTATATAATTTGTGGGATTAACCTTCGGGAAACCCATATAATTGCCATTTTTGTTCTTAAAGTTGGAAAGTTTTTGTGGTTTTTAGCATTTTCTGGGCGAACGCGATATGGTAGAGCAACCATTTTCTCACCAAAGTAAAGGTATTAAAATTCTGCATAATATACGTATATAACTTGTAGGATTAACCTTCGGGAAACCTATATTAATGCCCTTTTTGTTTTTAAAATTGGTACATTTCTGTGGTTTTTTGCATTTTCTGGGCGAACGGGACGCCGTAGAGCAACCATTCTCTCACCAAATTAAAGGTATTAAAATTCTGCATAATATACGTATATAACTTGTAGGATTAACCGTCGGAAAACCCATATAAATGCCCTTTTTGTTTTTAAAATTGGTACATTTTTGTGTTTTTTTGCATTTTCTGGGCGAACGGGATGTCATAGAGCAACCATTTTCTCACCAAAGTAAAGGTATTAAAATTCTGCATTATATTCGTGTATTGTTTGTGGGATTAACCCTCGGGAAACCCACAAAAATGCCCTTTTGTGTGTTCTGGTCCGCTAACTTTTGTAATTTTCGACCCGAAATTGAACGCGAACAATTCAAATTATGTCGAAATACCCGCGAAAATTTTCAGCCTCCTCAACTTTCTGGGATCCGGTTAACACCAACCAATTTTTCCATTAGTTTTCGACCCGAAATTAAACGCGAGCACACACTCACAAACACACTGCATATGTGAACGAGCGCATGTGTGTGTGTGCCAGTTCAATTTCGGGTCGAAAACTAATGATAAAATTGGTTGGTGTTATCCGGATCCCAGAAAGTTGAGGAGGCTGAAAATTTTCGCGGGTATTTCGACAAAATTTGAATTGTTCGCGTTCAATTTCGGGTCGAAAATATCAAAAATTAGCGGAAAGAAACACAAAAAGAGCATTTTCTGGGCGAACCGGATGTCGTAGAGCAACCATTCTCTCACCAAATTAAAGGTATTAAAATTCTGCATAATATACGTATATAACTTGTAGGATTAACCGTCGGGAAACCCATATAATTGCCATTTTTGTTCTTAAAGTTGGAAAGTTTTTGTGGTTTTTTGCATTTTCAGGGTGAACAGGACGCCGTAGAGCAACCATTCTCTCACCAAATTAAAGGTATTAAAATTCTGCATAATATACGTATATAACTTGTAGGATTAACCGTCGGGAAACCCATATAATTGCCATTTTTGTTCTTAAAGTTGGAAAGTTTTTGTGGTTTTTTGCATTTTCTGGGCGAACGGGATGTCGTAGAGCAACCATTTTCTCACCAAAGTAAAGGTATTAAAATTCTGCATAATATGCGTATATAACTTGTAGGATTAACCTTCGGGAAACCCAAATTAATGCCCTTTTTGTTTTTAAAATTGGTACATTTCTGTGGTTTTTTGCATTTTCTGGGCGAACGGGACGTCGTAGAGCCACCATTCTCTCACCAAATTAAAGGTATTAAAATTCTGCATAATATACGTATATAACTTGTAGGATTAACCGTCGGGAAACCCATATAATTGCCATTTTCTTTTGTTCTTAAAGTTGGAAAGATTAACCGTTTTGTGTTTTTTGCATTTTCAGGGCGAACGGGATGTCGTAGAGCAACCATTCTCTCACTAAATTAAAGGTATTAAAATTCTGCATAATATACGTATATAACTTGTAGGATTAACCCTTGGGAAACGCATAAAAAAGCCCTTTTCGTTTTTCAAAATTGAATAATTTTTGTGGTTTTTAGCATTTTCTGGGCGAACGCGATATGGCAGAGCAACCATTTTCTCACCAAAGTAAAGGTATTAAAATTCTGCATTATATACGTGTATTATTTGTGGGATTAACCCTCGGGAAACCCACAAAAATGCCCTTTTTGTGTGTTCTGGTCCGCTAACTTTTGTAATTTTCGACCCGAAAATGAAAGCGAACAATTCAAATTATGTCGAAATACCCGCGAAAATTTTCAGCCTCCTCAACTTTCTGGTATCCGGATAACACCAACGAATTTTTCCATTAGTTTTCGACCCGAAATTAAACGCGAGCACACACTCACACACACACTGCATATGTGAACGAGCGCATTTGTGTGTGTGCCAGTTCAATGTCGGGTCGAAAACTAATGGTAAAATTGAGCCGTTTATTTTGAAAGTGACCTAACTCCGTTTTTCAATTTTTTGCCGGTTACCATGGTTACATGTACAACTTCATGTTATTTATCAGTGACGCACTTCAGATTGCTTATATTCAGAGAAAATACGGTACATTTTTTACACATAGGTTTTCCGAATTAATTGAATAACTGACCCGTGTGGTTTGAAAGTGGCCTAACTCCATTTATAGTTACATCAAGGTATTTACTATTCATAATGTCGGAAAGCAGCGATGAAGGTAATTTCAATTAATTAGTATTTACAAGTCCACCTCATTTTTGGGACAATTGCGTTAGTTAATTAACCTGTACGTTTAATTAATATAAAACTTAAAATTTAATATTAAATTATAGAAATTATTGCACCCATGAGGAAGAACCGAAGAAGACCACTTAGTTCAGATAGTGAAAAAGAAATAGTAATTAATAAAAAAAAGCGAATACGAAAAAGAGTTATAAAACAATATTCCTCGTCAGAGGATGAAGATTCAAATAACAATGGAGAAAAGATTGATGCACCATATATCCAAAAAGTGCGAAAGATAAAACGGAATTCAGGAAAAAGATATTGCAGTTAAACCGGAAGTATTGTTCATGAAAAAAATTTCGAAAACAAAGATTGTGGTTGTCGGAATGCGTGCACAAAAAATTATAATGAAGAA